TTCGACTCCCAGGCACGTTTGAGCTCGAGCTGGACTCAAGTGCACCCCTAGTATGGATTCTAGGAGAGGGTTGCTTCAATGTCGTTCTCTCCAGTGATATCTTTGTTCTGCTTACAAGATTTGATGTTTATATATTATAAAGATCGATGAAATATTAATAAGTGATTGAAATATATGTTTGTGCAATTTCTCCAAAAAAAAAAAAAAATCCAAACAGATTCAAAGAAGCTGTTGATCTACATTCATTGTTGAGTTGAAATTTATTATTGTAATAGTACTCACAACTAGTATAAAGTTGTTGCATTTGTAACGCTTATGAAGTCTCTATCAAAATGTGTTGTATTAACAACTTGATACCCATCTAAGCCCTGCTGATCCCTGAATCTGAGAAAAATGATTGCCTGATACAAATATTAGTTGCTGACAAGTTTGATTTTTTTTTTTTTTTAAAAAAAGCTGAATTACCGACTAAACTAAAATGGTGAATACACTTTGACGGTATGACATGGAATGTACAATTGCAATATTAGAAATTAGAAAAGTGATAACCTGTCAAGAAAGAAGCAGTGATTACTATGATGGAGGTCAACCATTTTGAAAAGATTAAATAGAAAAATAAAAATTAGTGCGTTCAGCTGGATGGTTTTCAGTTTGACTAAATTAAGTGATTATGCAATTGGATTTTTCTTAGGTGGACTATCATCCATGAAAGCTGTGTCGAGATCCAAGGATGTCAAATTGGTTATCCTCTCAAGTACAATCAATTGGTACAAGGAATGCTTTCATATACTAGGAAAGTCACTTCTCATTGTAGATAAAAAGTTTGGTACCATTCGAAAAAGATGTTCCATATTATATTGGAAATTATCATCTTGATCGAAGGATCGATATCGATTTGACTCTCCAAAAAGGCAAAACTTTAGAGGCCCTTTGAATTGCTATGTTTTAATAGTTTTTGTAGATTTCGAAGAACATCAAATTTTTTTATTTAACCAAATTTTTTTCTTTTTTTTTTTGGGTAGGAAATAAAAAACCTTCTCAATTTTTTGTAGAAAAAGAGTTCAGGTGATTTCTGCTCGGATCACCGTCAATGATCAAGATGTGTCCTTAAAATCATAAATCGCTTATAGAATATCTACAGATTTCCTACCAACACAGCATTGAAATTGACGTGCCTTCCAAATTTTGGAACTCATAGTTTCTTCTATGATTACGCTTCATACTTACTTATTAATTTCCATGATGACTTCATAAATAGTAATAAATAAATAATAATAATAATAATGGAGACGCTATCAATGTTTGGAATGCCTATTAATAATTTAGTGACTGTGCATACAGAAAAGCAAAAGGCATGCTGCATGTGAGGAGGGATAAACCTATGCAGCATGTCATAATAAAAATTCCTTCGACTACTTTATGAGACATTATTATTATTCATTGGGTGACTCTGCATAGGATTGAACCTTGGATTTCAAAATCAAACATGTGTTTGATTGTTAAACCGTTCCAAAGATTATGCGTAAGCAAAAATTTCTTAGTTGAATACGCGTGCAAATTAGGCATCATATTGTATTAGAAAGTTAGAACAGATTTTTTTACAAGTTTGTTTTGCCTTTTATTGGTACTACAACCATATGGGGTACAATTATAATGGAGGAAAAAAAAAAAAAGGAAAGCAATCTAACGTAGTACTCCCTCCGTCCCACTTTGATAGTCCTGGTTCTTTTTTCACACAGTTTAATAAAAAGTAGTTAACTTTGTTGGAACAATCAATTTAGGTAGCTATTTTCCTAAAATACCCTCACATTAATTAGAGTACAACTTTATGGGAACTTAAATTGATGGTAAAAAAAAATCAACTCTCATTAAATGGAATAGGTTTATAGTAACAATAACTTACATTGAATAAAGGTATTTTAGGAAAATTAAAATACAACTACATTCTTCAATTGGAAAGTGGACTACGATTTGGGACAGACGAAAAAGGAAAACAGGACTATCAAAGTGGGACGGAGGGAGTATTTAAAAGAAGTCATGTAAGTCAAAAGAAGAAATAATGCGGTAACAAGAGGGCCTTCTGGGTATTTGCATTTTTGCCACTGTTCTCCTCTTAATTCCATATAATTCTTCATCATCAATAGAAATAAAAGCGTGGAAGAAGGTGCGAAATTCTGGCAACGTTCGATGCGGACACGGGAGGCGTGACAGTATTCATCCACCAATAAGAGAGTGGCGCGTACCCTCCCAAACCCTAGCTCACCAACGCTGTCTTATACGCAAATTAATCGCATCCCACGCGCTTATTCAAGAGCGTGAGTCACTGCTTGTTTAAGATGGGATTGATTGTACTTTTTGATGAAAAAACTGCTTTCAAATGTCAAACCTCTCGAGTCCTCGAGGTTCATGCGTTAATTAACGGTCACTTTTAACGAAGTTGGAGGGTGTTTACAGACTCTGACAAAGAGAGTGGGGTGATTAATATGTTAGTTAAACGCAATGAAACATGTAAACATCATATGAAAGTGGAGGTTAGTTTCAGTTGCAGTTCTGTTGTGCTGTGGTAGTAAATTTGCGAGAATCTAGCGGCTGGATTTTGGAGTCCAAATTGGATGGCTGGGATCTAGTCTGCTGTCAGAGTTGTTGCATAGTGGAAACTGGAAAGACGAGATTGACTATTCTATTCCCTTGGGGGAAAAAAAAAAGAAGAAGAAAATTGACTCTTGCATTTTTTTTGGGGGGGCTTTTTGAGTTTTTCTCCTTCATATTTCCCTTTCCCTTGTGACTGTTTTGATTCTTGAAGGATCCAAATGTCAGAGCTATAGTTTTTAGTTGGGAAGTACACAGGAAATAAATGCACAACTTTATGTGACAAAGAATATCGCTGAAAGGTGAATTGGCCTGAGGGGATTCGATTTGTGTAGATATATAAGGTCTCGTTGTGAGGAAGAAGAAGAAGTGTTTAAAGTGACATCGTGCCAAAAAGACAATTGTTTGAAAAATGTGGGCATAAAAAAAGACAATTATCGAATTCAGGTGTATGATAATTAATGATAATTTGAATCTAAAATTTGTACTCGCGACATGCATCTGATGCTACTAATGTGTGTGTATTGTCAGTATATGGAACATTTTATACACATTACCTAATGTGTGTGTATTGTCAGTATATGGAAAATTCTTTTAACTTGCAATTTGGTTCTTGTCAAAAAAAAAAAAGAAAAGAAAAAGAAGAACTGATTTTGATTTGGTTAGTGTTATTAGATTGTTTTTTATGAAGTAATTTGTTTTGACAAGATGGATGGATGGATGATAAAAACTATAGCCCTGAAGTCATCGCGTTGGAACTTGGAAAGTCGTTCGTTACATTTGATTTGTTAAGTTTTGAAGAACAATTCAACTGACCAACCCAATTCAATTCATGAGATTGCAGTCTTGCTGGCAGCGGTCATCAGCAGCCTTGACGTTATTTTTTTGTCTACTTAATTAAATTAGGAGGGAGTGGGAGTGCGGACGGGGTCGAATTCAGTCTGAATGGTTCAAGAGCTTACTTGATCAAAATCGAAACTCAATTCGAATCGACCGAGTTCAATTCAGGTCGTTGAAATACGAAAATTACATCTGATGCCCTAAAGTGAAAATACACAGGACCAACACTTTTTTTTTTTTCACTCTCAAGATCCAAATGCATTTTGGTCTGCCAAGCAGAAATTATTCTTGGGAGTTTGAAGCTTGCAGCAGCAATAAATAAGAACACCACGAGCAGGCGGATAGAGAATTCCTGGGAGGTTGACTGAGACAGGCAGAGGGCCACAGGATTGGAACTTTTTTCGTTTCTAAGATTTGCTGCATCGCAAAAGTCTTTTGGCTGCACTTGAGTGAGCGGTGATGAGAGTCTTATCAGGCCTGTGTCGGCTGTTTTGCTTTGCAATTATACTCTTCCAATCCTAGGACTAGGACTAGGAGGAAATTTGATTGAAAAATACAGGGAATTGGATTGAGCTGAAAAACTTTTTTATATTATCCGACAATTTTACTATCCATCCTCAATTCTATAGTAATTATGGAGGAAGCAAACCAAATCGAGAAGTCAAATTGCGGGATTCCGATTGAATAGCAAAACTCCGATTCAAACACACTTACAAAATGCTGTGTGGAAGTTGGTTGAACCATGAAACATGACTTCAAAATTTAATGCTACGGAGTAAGGACCATTTCTGTAAATTCACACACTATTATTTGGATAGGGTATTATTTGAAATAATTACTGTAACACTTTTTGTGATGTCATGTATGTGTGATAAAAAAATAATTAAAAATGTAAAAAAAGTGGATTGGAAAATGTGTTTATAATATGTTGCATGACGCTGCAGGATTGGCCCACCACACCTACAGTTGAGTTGATCATCAATAAATTTCGGGAAACCCTTCAGATGGTAGTGTCTATTTTGCCGGAGCCAAGTCCAAAATTACAATTTGCTTTGCCTTTCTTCACTCTGTATTTCCGTTTTTTAAGTTGGTACAGAAACGTTTCGACACGGCTGTGAAAGAATTGATGATCTCCTCAACTGCTTAGCAGGGAAAGCTGAAAGAAGAGAAGAGAGGACACCAGACTTATAGTGGAATCATGGACTCCCAAGGCCCTGTTCAGGCTTTCAAAGGATTTATCATTTATCAGTTAGAATGGTTCTACAAAAGCTACCTAAATTCTGCGCTTCAACTTCACCACTCCTTCTTGGTCCTCTGCCCTTCCAGAGTCGCCCTCTCTATACAGAAGAAACAGAAAAAAAGATAATGAAACATAAAGAACAACATCGGACCACGCAATCGCAACACAAGTGACAGACACAACTCATCTTGGCCTTATCCCAACTAAACCAAGGACTGTGATTCGTTTTAAGAAGATTCAGCTGTTGATCAAATAACCAACTAATACGTGATCATGATATGACATCGCTGCATGTATTACAGCACAACCAACAGAGAGCATCAGCAATTGGGAGGTATCCTCAAAACAGCGAAAATCAATTTCACTAACTTGATTACATTCTGCATCCATCGACCTTCTGGACAAATAGGCCATATAGGCATTGAAAAACATCACAAGTAAATCAATTCAACACAATCTCAAGAAGCAGTCCCAGTTACCATACCAGAACACATGGTTCAAATCTTGGTACTCAACCAGAAAAATGGCTTAAATAGTCAACTTTGTCCTGAACTGATAAAAGAAGAAATAAACTATCGATAGAAGAGGATGTACTGTCAATTTTTTGGATTTTAACCTCGTTTTGTCAGCTCTCCAACATTTATCACTTTGTACCTTTACGCTTTTCCTGATACACTTTTAGGAGCTCAGCAGCCTCCTTCTCGAAGCATTCCACAAACCTCTTAAGGAAGATCTTCTCCGGATATACCAGTAAAGTTGCCAGCCTAACATTCTTCTTCAACAAACCTTTACTCAAAAGGGCTTGGTGAACCAAACACCTAGGAATAATAGTTTTCTTCAAACTCAGAGTAACTATGAATGGTGCTTTCAGTATAGCAGAAGGGTCATAACCCATTTTGACGACCAAAAAATCCATAACATCCACGATTTTACCGCTTGATATGGCCATGACGCTTGCGTGCTTCTTAAAAGCAATTAGAACCTCATTCTCGGAACAACCCCATCTCTCATACAGTGCCATCTTTTCCCTCCAAATTTTTTTATCAATTGATGCCATTCTCCATAAACATCTTGCAAAACATCCATCCTGAGGATTAAGCCCCATTTTCTCCAACTCCTCCACAGATTCTTTCAGCACATCAGAAGGTCTCACTAATAACCTTGGCTGACTTTTCAGCAAATTTAGGATATTGGGTTCAGGAACTCCTACCTTGCGCAAAAACTCAATGTTGGCTAACATCAAACTCTGAAAACTTCTTGTGAGAATACCTGGACACCTCTTTATCGGGCATACCAAATCTTGGTAAGAGGTAAACAAATCTCGAAGGGCATTAAGTGATGGAACAATTTGGGTTTCCAAACTTCTAGTTAGTAAACTTCCTCCGGAGCTTAGCACCTTGGCGATGTCAACAGTTGAGAACCCCGCAGATTGAAAAAATTCAATCTTAGGCAAAAGGGTCTTTTGGGGACGGCAAACAAGGACACTGGGATAGCTTGAGATGATATCTGAGACTTGAGCATCAGTAAAACCGTACTTTTTAAACACTGCAAGAACCGAATTTGGTTTATCTGGGGTTTTAAAATTCACATTCTTGGCAGCTGAAATTGCTGTTTTTTCAGAAAGCCCACATAATTTTATAAGGTAATCGACAGTAAATGAATGTGGGACGTCAATTTTACCATTCAAGATGGAATTTTTACTAGCTTGTGTAGATGAGGATGATAATGGGTTGAGTTGTATAAAATGGAACTTCTGAGTAGTTGAAATTCTAATACCACTACAATATTTCTCATAAGCAAGAATTTTGCTGCTTTTGCCTACGAACTTAAACATAATGGAGTTGATGGAGGTTTCGAGTTACCTACCTTTACTTGAACCGATTCCGCAGTAGGTTGAATCCATTTCCTCATCTAAAAGGTCCTCCCTCCTCGATAAACCCTAACTAGTTACTACACAGACAACGCTTTAAACCGTGAGTTTGAGCACAACGAATATAAGAGAATTAATTACATTTGCATCCCTGTTGTCTTTCCAAATTGTCACCATTACCCCCTCCTCAGTTTCGAAGTATCAAAAAGTACCTCTTCTAAAATCACATACTATTGTTAACTTTTTTGGTTTTGATGGCAAAAATACCCTCAGTTGTTATTAAGAAAATGTACACAGATGGATAATATGGGAAAAAGAATTGCATATGCTTATTACTTGCTTGCAGTTTTGGATGAGAGAGAGGGAAAGAAAGCAAGGAAAAAGTTGGATTTCATTCATTTTTCACTTGTAATGCATCAATTTTGTTTTCAAAGAGAAGGGAGGAAAGAATTGCTTCTTATTTGCTCAATTTTTCAATAACTACTTAATGATAGTGAGAAATTTGTTGCATTTCGTTTGACCTAATTAGGTTAAAATAATTGCTTAAATACAAGTAAATCCGAATCAATGTGTTTACACCACTCTCTCTTTACATTATATTGATCATTCTTGAATATTTTATATTTTGTATCCCTGAAATGGATTGATAGTTAGTTCGCATCAGATGTACTGGTTAGTTATTTGAAAATTATCTATAGTGTACTTTCATAACAACTTGAAGAAGGGTATTCATAACAATTTTGGCTTTTACAATTGGTTATATTTCTTTTATGGGAGATGATTGATCTTTTTATAAGCACTGTTAAAAAGAGGAGGTTGAGGGTTATGACAGCACATTCAAGCTTCTGCACTTAGTAGGTTGCTCCTGATCTAATTCCCAAGTGTTTCAAACTCCATATAACTGGAGAGAAGGTGATAAATTAACTCATCATTCTGCAAATGGTGACTAAATGAATTCATCATAAGCAAGGGGTAAGAATGAATTAAGCACTTAAAAGCATCCGTTTGTACTAAAACTAGAAATTTCATGCCTTGCCCTCAACGGTTAGGTAAACGAACAGAGCTGTCGAAAGGCAGTTTATTGTTTTGCAGCTCCCGACGAGAGTGGGATAACCGACCGTTTACTAATTGCAATCACAACCGGTGACTTTGGGCTTGTTTGGATAGCCATTTTTCACCGAAAAATAGCATTATTTTCCGTGAACACATTTCTCTATCACCGTTTTTCTTCACATACATCAAATCGCTACAGTAATTTTTCAACGAAAAATCCATGAAAAATACAATCAAAACGCAACCTTTGTCCTCCCAAATCGATCGAGCTAGGCAAACTAGTTGAGCTCGATTTGGCTTTGGTGCTAGGCTTATAAACTTGTCAAACTTAACCAAGCGAATCATTGCATTGAGATCAGATCGAATTTACCCGTTGATCAAGTTTCAACTCGAGTTCGACCAAAATTCAATTTCTTTGAACTCGATCTCATTGAAAAATTGTAGATTAAAATTTCTACCGTCAAAACTTGAGAAAATTGATTTGAGGACAATCCAAAAAATAATAAATCGTTCCATATGCTAGAAGCAACAATGAGGTTGTCCTTGCACTCAATTTAATTGCCAGGAACATTAGTAAAGTGTAAAGTAAGACGCAAAATAATCCTTTGCACACTGGCCGTCAATTATCAACCACTTCCTTTCTTTCTTCTTCTTCATCTCTATCTCTCTCTCTTCTTTTTTTTTTTGGGTTGTTCTTTTGAGGCTTCGAGTCTGTCTAGTACTACATAAAGCAAAAAATGAAAACAAAAAAAAATAATAATAATAACAAAAGAAGTTGACACCGTAGCTCCATTAAGAGAATTATTAACAATGCGCGAGTAAAAGAGATTTATCCCTCAAAGGTCAGAATAATAGTCAAAAGCAGTAGGGTTTTAGGCGCACCAGGCAAAAAAAAAACAGCAAGGTTTCATGCCATTGAGTTCTCGAGTTCAAATGATGATTCTCTGGCCATCCCAAAGAGCATTCTAAATAAGCAGGTCAGCCCTTTGATCAAATCCAGCTGTCTCCGCTATGTTCAAATGTGTATGCCGCAGGGCAGTGCATCATGCCAGAGAGTGCTCTGCTATTTCATCTTCTTTATACCATAAACTGCATTTTCTTGAATTGCATCGACCCCTTTCCTCATCAACGTCATCTATTACGAATTCCTCAAATCAGCAACCCATGGTAGTGTCTTACTTCATGAATTCATTTGGGTTCTCTCAAGAAAGAGCACTTTCGGCTTCCAAGTATGTTCATTTCGAAATCCCGGGAAATGCTGATGCACTGCTTCTGTTTTTGAAGAATCATGCATTTACTGATGCTCAGATCTCGACTGTCGTTAGGCTAAGGCCATCTATCCTTTTATCCCGTCCTGAGAAAACTTTGTTGCCAAAGCTTGTATTTTTACAATCTATAGGAGTCTCAGGATTAGACATTCCCAGGATAATATGTAGATCACCTAATATACTTTGTAGAAGCTTGAAAAACCAAATTATCCCAGCTTTTAATCTACTCCAAGACTTACTTCATTCGAACGAAAATATTGTATTTGCTGTTAATCGATTCCCGGATCTTTTGGTGACAAATTTGGAGAATAAAGTGGCACCTAATCTTGAGATTTTGCGAGAGGCGGGTGTTACTGAATCGGGAATTGGGTATTGTTTGAAACATATGCCTAGGCTATTAGCTAGACTTCCAGAACATTTGAAAGAAAGTGTAGAAAGAGTTAAGCAAATTGGTTTCAATCCTCAAACAACAATGTTTCTTCAGGCTGTTAAAGTGATGGCTGCAACAGCTTCGAGGAGTTGGGATCGCAAGATGGACGTTTATAAGAGGTGTGGTTGGTCTGAGGAAGAGGTGCTGACTGCTTTTAGGCGGCAGCCACATTGTATGCTGGCTTCCGAATCTAAGATTGTTAGGGTAGTGGATCTTTTGGTGCATAAAATGGGATGCCATATTTCAGAGTTAGCCAAAAACCCACTACTGATTTTGCTGAGCTTGAACAAGACAATTGCTCCAAGGTGTTCAGTTTACAATGTTCTGCGCATGAAAGGTTTGGTTAGAAAGAACCTTAGCTTGGCAAGGTGTCTGACCTGTCCAGAAAAGTTTTTCCTGGAGAGGTTTGTTCAGCGATACAAAGAGGAAGCTCCTGAGCTTTTAGAGTTATATCAGGAAAAAATGCAACTTTCAAAGTGACTGGCACTAGGGGACAACAAATGAATGAGATATATTAAGTGATTTTCATATCAGTTTATTTCTGCTTCTGAAACACCTGTAATGTCAGCTTGTTGCCTCCTTGGGCTGTTCCTGGCTTACTGCTTACAGATAATCTTTTTCCTTTCTTCTTTTCTCTTTTTCTAATTTCTCGCTGCTCTCTTGCACCCAGTATTCATTTGGAATCAACTGATGGTATGAAATGGTAGCTCCTGCTGGATGATTTTTCACTAATTCATGTGCTAGGTTTTCAATCTCCGTATATCACTTTTTCTCCTGGGTTGATAAGTACTGCCAAATGATATGGAGCATGAATCCAATTGAAACTTTGAGAACATTGTCCCCTTGGGATTTAGCCCCAAGGCCCCTGACTTTTGTGATGCAGAGGAGATGCTTCTGCTGATAGTGAAGTGGTATTCTCAATAGGTTTCTTTAGTTGGTCATTAGTCCCAACTTTGTGCATGTAATGATCAGAAACTTGATAAAACAAGTAATCCGATCTTTCACATTCTAAAAGGATAGTTTGCTTTGAGGAAGACAAGTTAGACACTGCATATTTTGCCTAGTAATTGGTTCATCAATCCCAAATCACATGTGAGACATATCATCAAAGATAATCAAAGGCAGGATGCTGAGTCTAATATCACTTTCTTTGTTTTGACAGCATTGTGAAATGTTTGCACAACAATAACAATCGTGGAGGTTTCATTACGGCTGATACATATTATTCACTGGTCTGTGTCAGGATGTCGGTGTGTCATGTGTATACGTGCTTAAATGTATGTCTGTATTGTATGCATATAATGTCCATGAAAATGTAGCAAGAGCTTTGCTCTAGTTGGCAAGGCTTCATGTAGTATGTGCTAGAAATGCTCTTTTCAGGCTTAGACCTGTTGGATTCTATAGGAGGGTGGATTTCCTGTTGGTCTTTGCTAGTGCTAATGTTGTTGTCCAATAGGAACTGAAGAGAACTTGCTGAAACCAGTCGAATGACAGAGCATATACAATATGCACTGCTCAATCTGCTCGATTCATTGCCCATACTGTTTCGCAGAATATTCACATATCATCTTTGTTGCTGCTTGTGGCATTTTTTTTGGTTGCATTCGAGAAGAGAGAGTAACAGGGCATTTGATTTGTCAACTTATGCCCGTAACTTCTGTCCTTGTCTACATGATACTTCATGCTTAAAGCAAGACGAGAACGGGGTGCGCATAGACCAATTTGGACTATTTCTTCCCTCCTTGGCATGGTTGGTTTGAAAGTTGATGTGCCATCAACAGAAATTCACATGTAAGAAAAGCTGTTGATGTTGCAAGATATTGCTCGAGTGAACGGAAATTAGATAAAAGGTTTATTCCACATCTGTCCTTATCGGTATATGCTGAAACATAGGGTTGAAGAGGCTTATTTGTTTTGGCTGTTCAGTAGGAATTCTTGAGCATTTGTGCCGTCTATGGGCTAGCTAAAGCTGTGTTGCCCATAATCCAACGATTTCGTATTCATTCAATTCCCTCCATAAAACCTCCTCCGGTTTAGTTGATGATCCCACACCAACTCCAGATAGACAGAAGAATGTTGGTGGAGGAAGCTCTCGTGCAATTGAGCTCATACAAGGAAAGTTTAGAATGTTCCGATTCACCACCATGTTGTGAATAAAGCTCCAGTTAAGCTTCAAATATACTCGTCATCTATCACCCTCTGCTTCTTGACAAAAGAAGTTAAACAAAGATGACTTCAAAATTGAATTCGCAAGTTATTCATCAGTGTCTATATACTTAAAATGAGCGAGCTACTTGACCTTTCAAATTAGGGTGTCGATTCGATTGTATCTGAAACCCCAAAAGCACAATTGCAAGTATTTACTCCAGTCACCAACAGGTTAGTACAAACTGAACCGAATGTAATACTAAACACAAAATGAAAAAGAATGGATCCCACGGGGAAAAAATAAAACTTAGCAGGACAACAGACAAGTTACAAGTTGTTGAAATGTGATTTTGCTGACAATGACAATTTGTAGGAGAAAAGATTTTGCTAGGAGATTTCTCTTCTGCAGCCCGTCGTGGTTAAAAACCCAGTTAACAAGGCCACTGAAACTACACAACATCTGCTTGGTGGCCGACTTCCTCAGCCACCCGATCTATGCATGACTTTTAAAGGGGAAACATAAGCATCAGCTCACTTTGCGACGGTACTGCGGCTCGAGTCTTGATTGTTCCCCTCTAATAGACTCCAGGAATCACCAAACACTGAATTCACTCAAGGTCATTGTTTCATCTTTTTTTTAGGTCTTTTCTTCTTTCCATCCGTAGAGTCCTTTAAGTTCTGTATGAATAACAATAGTCAAAGTTAAAATGAACTAACAAATGATAGGGAAACTTGAATATTTAAGCACCCAGAGGCACCACCTTCATTTTTTTCTGTTGCTTTCTATCTGACTTCTTTCTCTTCTTCTTACGCTTCTTTGACACAGAGATCTTAACCTCCTCTTCAGCTGACTCCTGCCCATGTGTGTACAAGAAGTTAGGAAGCTGATTATAGCATAGTGACCAAAGTAAAATTCAACTTTCCTGGTATGTTCTTTATGGGAAATTGCTTGTATGAATGCAACTGTGGATTACCTCAGAATCACCAAAAGAATCCACATGATGAATTGTTCTTCCATAACTCGAGGTCCCACCTGCAATGTTCATCCACAAACAAAAAAGGAAAAATTAGACCCAACCAAATACTTTAGGCAATTAAAGAACCCATTTTCATCTTATTTTTGACATGACAAAGTTTCACTAGATTATGAGCATAAAATATGTCAAGAATATACAAGAAAACTATCCTTACAAGGTTTTATGCATCAAAAAATGGTTCTTATATAGTCACAAAATTATTACTACTGCTGCTTTTCCCTTTAAATACCATATACAGAATATGCAGCTGAACATCCAAGAAAGAATCCAAAGTAGCCAACCAGTGATGGAAACCAAGGCCCAAGAATGTACTTACAACAATGCATTTTCTAAGCACGAATAAAATCTAAAGTAATTTTGTCTTTCAAGAAATTTTGCTATCTTTTGTTCTTTTGATGATTGAAGAAAATTCCATTTGATTAGGATGTGAAAGGATAAATGCTACGTAACAACCAGTCTCAAGTATCTTCCCAACTTCCGTAAAGAAGAATACAAACCAATTTTGAAACAAGAAATACTGATTCAGGTTTGACACAAAACTTATGCTTTATGAGTTACATTCCAGCTGCAGCAACCCAAGATAACCAAATGACTCTAAAGTTAGCAGGATATTGATATGTGATGAAGAAACACAGCCAAAGATCCAAGTAGTCAGTGTTAAATATTGGACAAGTAATCATCAAGCTTACTCATTCTAAAGATCTATTTTGCTCAGATGTAAGGATTACTTTCATGAGATGTGCAGAGCATGGAGTCTTTACAGTTTATTCTAATAAGAGAGCCAAAAAGTCCTATTCTTTGTCAGAGCCTGTATCTCACTCATGGTTAAGATTGAAAAACATTCCTTAATCTGGATAAGCAGGAGAACCCAACCTTGTAAATCAACATATCTCCCAAGATGATAAAAAAATTTGTGACCTTCAATCTTATCTCATAAAAAGATCGAGAATAACACATCCAGATCCAATTACAATCAGAAAAACTCGACTAATTCAAACAGAAAAATGTCAGCCAAAAGTTCGAATCTCATCCATATTTTAAAAACCAAATAAATGAATATACTGCAGATTTCAGTTCCACTTCTCGGGCCATTAAAACCTATCAACCAGCAATTTGCTTTCAACAACTGAGAACTTACTAGACATACTACATATTTCCACTTGCTTGGTATAATTCTCAATGCCCAAGATCCTAAAAACTAGCATCATTACACCTAACAAGCAAAATATGCCGGAAAAACTCCAGAAGATTGATAAACATGTAGTCAAAAGGCCCAAAACAGTTAATATACATGAAGAATAGACTAGGAAAGATTACTTGGATTAACGGCATCTTTGGCATTTTTAACAGCCAATTCAACAAGTTTGGGATCAACAGAGGCCAATCCATTTGGTTCCTGCAATTTTCTCTGCAAGAATTTTGCTAATGCTGCTGCTTTATTAGTCTTCAATGGCCCGCCTGGATGAGCTTGCCTAAAACACGAACACACACACACACACACACAGACAAAATTCATCAGTTATCACTAATAAATTGCATTTTTGCCTCACAACCCAGATTAAAAAATCACATTTTTTGGTACATAATTAATAAAATATACAGAATTTGGTCACCGTAGGGTGGGGTGGGTTACCTGGGTTGATGGCGGGGTTGAGGAGCAGATGGAAGCGGTGCAAATTTACTCCCTCTTAGTGCCCTTTTCTCCTCTTCTGTTAGTCCTTCCATATCTCTATCTTTATGCGTATATCTATCCATGTACGTATAGTTACGTATGGCTGCGTTCGGCGGCGGACGGCGGGGGAGGGTGGTGTTGGGAACTTTGAACTTGCACTTATACTGTTGATTTGTTTTTGGAATTTGGATTGGGAGAGTATTTTTGAAAAACTATTTTTTCAAATACAATAAAAATTTTTAAAAAGTAATTTAAAAGGTAATCTAAAAATTAATTTAAATTTTTTAAAAATTTTAAAAAATATCTCAAAATATATTCTAGAAATTCTTCTATTTTTAAATATCTCAAAATATGTTTTGAAAATATTCTAAAATATAATCTAAAAACTCTGTTACAGCAAAATTTTTCAAAAACACCCTAAAAAACAGTTAATTCAAACGGAGTTCGCATTCAAGTGGCTGTGCAAGAGCAACGTCCTGAACCTAATAATTCTTGTATTAGAAATAGTGTCCTAATTCTTGTATTTTGGTGGAAAACTTGTCCAAAAAATGAATAAGTTGAAAATTCGGTTGCCGAATTTACGGCTTCTTGTCAATATTCGAAGTAAAAATAAAATTTCTAAGTTTGAACCAATTGTGATTCTTGTATTAATATTATAGTTGTGGGCTATATAAACAATTGTTATTTCTTGTATTAGCCTCACAATTTTGAGGGGAAATATACATACATGTATATCATAGTTGTGGATTATATATAAATAGTTGTTATTTCTTGTATTAGCCTCACAATTTCGAGGGGATATATATATAAATATATATATATATATATGTATGTATTTACGTACATATGTATGGTAAGGACGAAAAGGAAATGTAAAACCTTTGTCTGCATCATCCTAGGTTCTTTTGGTTTGGAATTTTTGGTTTCTTATCAAGTGCAATCAAAATCAGTTTGAAACCTTTGACCGCATCATCCAAGGCTCTTTTGGTTTGGAATTTTCGGTTCTTATTCAATGCAATCAAAATCAGTTTGACTTTAGGGTGTATCAAGTGTCGACCAAAGTAAGAGACTTGATGTGTACAGAGTGTCTCCCTCCGACCATGAGAATAACACCAATCAGTTTTCTATCCTCTCTTCTGGCTTTGTCCTCGGCATTTTATCATAACATAAAAACTCGTTAACTTGAAAATGAAAATGATAGTACAAATTAACAAACCAGCAGAAAGTTCAATCATAAGAAGACATTGTGCCTATAAAAACCAGAGCACAAGATCAAGATGGATGCTAAAATGACATTAATGATCATAACACTTTATTTCCCAACTTTCCTGTCCCCTGCAGCAGAAAACTGCAGGTCCATGCTTTCAACAAAACTCTAGCATCCTAGCCGCATAACTTAGGGGACAATACTTTGTAAAGGGGAGCTAGCAGTTTATGGAACAACCCAACTGCGACAATTTGCAGCCACATTTTTGAGCCTACTACCCTAAAACCCAGGCCTTGAAATGTCAGGCCATTCCAATTGTATGTATGAAAGAATTGAAATAAAATCACCATAGAGAAGATTTCTCCTTGCTGGTGCAGAAATGGTGTCAGCATAAACAGACTAAAAGCCACCGGATTGTAAAAGCCGTCGCCCAATCTGATGCATTTTTGTCTACTACCCAAGCAGGAACCTGAAAATATCGCTTAATGTTACAATACCTTCCACCCGCTTGCTTCCAGCTTCCACTATGACAAGCCGTCTCACCCCTGCAATCATAACTTCAAGTTTCATGCATCTCGTGATAGGGTGATGACCTTACCATTAAAATAAACAAAACCTAAACCTCCACAAGCAAAGAAAACACTGCCAATCATTGGAACTTTAGCACAAAAAATCTGATAGATTTTGGCACAATAAATAACCTGGTTTGGACAATCTCTCCATAATCTTGTGTAGCGGATCAGTTGGCAAACACATGTGACATCTTTGCTGGCTGATCCCATATGGGGAATACGGTTCTTCACCTAGCTGCAAGGCCTAAGATGCATTCCAGCATAAGGAGAAAAGAAAAAGAGATGAACAATGAAGCTAAGACAGTGCATCAGAAAATTTAACGTCATGCATACACTCGAACTTGTAGCCAAAGCCTTAGGCTTTGCAAGGACACTCCCAAACTAAGGCAATATGCTTACCCGATGAACAGTCATCTCCTCAAGATTAATATTTGTATAAGATTTGTCCTTGGCCAATGCAGTAATATCGCTGTCAAAGACACAATCAACATTTGCCTTCAACTGTTGGGAAAGTAGAGTCCAATTCGACATAATATAAGTCTGTTGTTAAAATTATGCAATAATATACACAATAAATCCTTACCTTCGAGAATACACATCCAGTAAGGAGTCGTTGTCATCAACAATAGGAATTGAACTAACTTGAGCTGCAAAGGAAACAGACAACATGCTTGAGTACAAAAGTACAGAGGTATTTCAGGCCTGAATTAGATAATTCTTTCTCCAAATCACATTTGTTTACATCTATCTGCAAAATCTCAAGTTGAGTTTACTTTTCTGAGAAACTACCATGACTTTCCACCCAGAATCATGGTGCAAAAGGAACTTTTGCAGGTTCAAAACTCACCAGTTCTACAAGTGATGAGACATCACATGTTAAGTCCAAAATGCTTTGCAAGCACTTGATTTTAGTTACCTTCTCCAAGGAGTTATAGATTTATACACTTAACACTCGTGAATATTTCTATTTCATCCCGCTTAATCTACCAATATCCTCATGGTACAAAGAAGATCAGAAGCAAACATTCTCCAAAAAGGGCAAATAACTAAAGCCAAAAAAAAGGAGATCTACAGCTTGAACAGCACAACAATTCAACAGCTATCCCTTAGGAGTAGGAAAAATACCTTGAACTAATAAATTAAGTGCTGCACTAAGGGAAGCGCTTGGTCTCAACATTGCAAACGGCTGCCGGTTTGACTCTCCAATTTTTGGAACCCAAGTTCCCAATCCGATTGCACAAACTGGGAGCTGGAGTACAGGCAATAAGCCTAAAGAATATCTGAAATATCTGCAAATGCCTGAATTTGGCAGAAGCATCAGTACAAGGAAGAAAACAAATTACAAGTCTACAGAACTGATTAACACGGTACTTTGAAGTATATCAGAAAGTGAAGCAAGATGCAATAGCTGTGGGTATGATCCCTCCTCAGTGCTGGAATGAATTATAGGAACTGTAGCCACCCCATTTTGTAGAATCTTCAAGGCAACATCTTTCAAATTGTCATCTGGCCCAGCCTGCAAAAACAAAATGCAATAAGCAGAAAATACATGCTTAAGCACAGGATGGACCAATATTTAGGAACCAAAAAATAGGAACAGCTTCAGAAAAAACAATATTTTATGTCAACCAATTTACTGCATAAAACCACAGCATCAATAGTCGCAGGAAATAGATGAACGGAACTTGTAGAGTGAAATAACAAGACAATAACAACTACCCCCTTAAATTTCGTCATAGTCAAATAGACATCCCCATTAGCCTTATTAAAAGGAAGCTTATCTTACCATTTTGCCCTAACATTGATAACAACACTCTTCCCTCTATATGGTATCTATGAAAATAAATGTGATCATGAATAATTGTAAATTAACATATCATGAAACAAGAGGAGACTTGATCAACTATTAAAACCTCTGGAAGGGCAATGCCCACAAATATTCATTCCAGACAAAAGGGAACCAGAGAAGCACACTGAATAATTTGTTCAGAATTAACAAGGTAAAACAAAAAATAAAGAAAAAGTGAAGACACTAAATACAACTTATGCCTAAACTTGGTGTGTGTCTATCATTAGAATCTAAGGACCCAAACTATCAACATTATTATAAAAGGCAACAGAGTTTCTCACAACTAGTTTGCAATTAAAATAAATCAGTACTTACATGGACAAGTTGCCTGGGACCTGTTCTTCCACCATCATTGATTTGTCTATTCATAAATGACTTAGCTTCCTTCCAAGCAGATATAGTGTGCAAGTCAAGCTCTTCCTCTGTCAGATTGGACCCATGATTTCTGAGCTGCAAAGTTGAGACCATAATTGCAAATATCCCAGTTTCTAAGAGCTAGTGCAATCAGATTTGGTCAATGGACAACTATTACTTCAGAAAGTTATCATAGAGGAATACAAAATACTCTGTCAGAACATACAAAGTCATTCCACCTCCCAACTATTTGAGCTGGGGATAGTCACAAGTTCAAGTAAAAAAAAAAGGCCTATTATCACAAGACTGTTATATCAAATGCGGATATCAGGTTAAGCTTACTGACGAACACTGCCCATGTAATCTAACCTGAATTTATATAAAGTACAACCATCACAAGCAAATAGAAATTCTGTCCTAAGATTAAAGATCACAGCAGGTACCTCCTTCATAATCAAGATGAAATCCAGTGCACTCAGAACTCCAACAAACTGGCCCTTGCAGAAATCCCACAGAGGAGCCATAGGAATTCCCTGTAATTAGCATGGCTTAGAAAAGGGATACAGCAATATCAGAAAGACTCAAATACCCAACTGGAAGACGAACAAATGGAAAACAAGATAGAGTATCTTCCAAGAATAAAGGGACCATTAACAAATAGGTTATATGATCCCTGCATCACTAATCAGATCTTGGTCTTGGATAGTTGGATGCATTTAACAAGGTATCACGAACTTACTGCATTATCTCAAATATTATTAACCAAGTGCATTGCTTATTGAATACATGGTATTGATTTGTACAAAGGAGAAGCAAACTAAGGGATCTTCTTTTGTTGATCAGACAATAGGAAACATAAGATGCATATCTGCAAAACCTGAACAAATATCATCCAAAAAAAAGAACAAAAATCACATTTGCTCAACATCCCGATCAGTACAATGGTCAACTACTCAATGGTCACAAGAGCCCCAGAAGTGAATATACTTGCAATAGAATAATGTCACTAGTGTATTTTCACATTTAGGTGGCTTATAACAACCAAGAGCCAAACTTAACCCAACTTGTATTACAAATTTGAAGTCCTCTCAAGAACAGGAAACCAGTCAAGTCTGCAAGAAATTGACCATACCTGCTCGTGAAGAATGTGAAAAGCCTGCTTCACAGGTAAGTCAACATCTAAAGCAATAACCTGGGCACCAGATTTGATTTAAATCAAGAGAGAGATATGCTGCAATATATTCCTAGTGACTATTGCTAGGTCAACTAACTCATACCTTTCCTGACCGAGGAAGCAACTCATAAGCTGTATGTGCAGACAAGAATACAGAAATGCGGTGGCGAGAGATCTCTAAGTCTGCTTCTGATAACCCAATATCTGAAACTTTGACCTGAAACTTAATAACCAGATGTAAAGCACCAGCAAACATTAATACTCTAACACATAGGCACGAAAAGGAGATCATATAGGACAAGAAGAAAATCATCAATAGACTATATAAAGTCATTATAAAATTCAGAAATCAAATTATCTATTCAACAATCAGGAGTTCCATCAATGCATTTGTAGAGACCACCAAAACTTTTGATACAACCTTTTATGCTGTTGTGATGCAAGGCAAGAAACAAGAAAGGAACAGATTAGCAATACAAAATTACTCTATTGGATGCTTGTCTACAAGGCTCCCAACTCACAGATGGAAATCCAACTTCTTATGGCTAGTTGATGCACATTATTTTGTCTACTCAAAGCCAATTTGCATTCAAATAATTAGAGAGATGAAATTAGGTTGAGAATCTCAAATCATCCAGCTATTTATGAAAAAATCACAGAAGCAAAAACTGTAATATCACCAAAAGTATTTATAATGTGTGATGCAGTAAAATACTCTCATACCAGACGCTGAAAGGCCTCATTATCAACATCCATATTAGAACCAGCAGGAAATTGAGGATTAAGCATTGGCGGCAGGTAGTCAGATTCCCTTGCTAAAAGGACAGTGTTGACAGTCCCATAGTTACTGGAGACGTGTGGCTGGTGCTCATCATGCCGCCATTCACCATCAACGACAAACTTGTACTGCATTTACAGATACAAGATATAAGAGTGTTAATTCACAGATCTGCCAGATTTTGTGCATACTCTTGTATGCCTTTGTTGCTATGACTAGGTTACAATCCAAAGTGAACCTGGTCACAGAAGAGGCCAACAGATTAGAATTCAAGATTCATCCAAGAAACAGCAATATCTGATGGAACTTTTAAATGGACCAAAAAATTTCAAGAAAATCTATTTTGTATTAAACTGTATAAACTATGTAAAAAGGAGCAAAACTTTCATGCTCACGCAAAAAGTTTCTCTCAAACATAGCACAAACTTAGATCTCATTATATTTACTGCTGCCACCAAAACCAAACATTCTAAAGACCTAATGTAGCATTTACCAAAAGATCAAATGATAACATGGTAACTATCTCCTCTTTTTCTTTTTCTTATCCCTTCTTTTTAAAAGGAAACTTGCATCTCCTAGTATTATAATAATGCAGACGATGAAACCAGAAAACGAATGGTATGACTAAATTTCACAAGTGAAGTTATCATTTTAAGCATCCCATTTTGCCCCAGATAAGTTACACAATAAGTATACAGATTAATAAAAGGCAATAACTTTTCACCAAAAGCACAACGTATGTAACAGAAACCTGGTGGAAGCCTGGAGGTAAGTTGCAAACTGTCTGAAAGACCGTTGGGCATCCCTCCACTGGAGTCATCGGATGTTGTGCCCACCTTAACAAAATGACCAGTTGCCACCATTATTAGTGCTACAACTAACTAGAATCAATATAACAATATTACACGCTAATGTCAAGTGCTGAATAGGGATATAATGAAACTAACCAGTTGCCACTATAATAGAACTAACCAGAATTGGAAAAAAAAAAACAAAGAGGACTGAACCATAATGTAAACATGATAAAATTCTAAAAGGTGGACATTTTGAAGTCTCACCCAGTAAATGAACCACAGATATACACACTTCTTCCACCATAAGGCCACACAAACCTCGTGGGCATGCCAGGTTCCCGCGAGTAATCCATACCAGAAGAATGGTACATCATCCACTTCCTCCGATTGTTTGAATAATTTTCCCAACGTAAAGAGCAGAAACTTTCACCAAAAAGACAACCCTCTCAAAAATTAAGCACCTAAATCACAACCCACTTCACCATTAGCCCAATTCAATTCCCCTACCGGCTTATACACTTGAAAACTGAATTCACATATTGACATTAATGAAAAATCATTGCTTCAAAAAAAAAAACCTACAATTCAGCCACAACTCAAATAACCAAAAAGACTAAATTTTGCAAAGCAAAAAAACTAATACTAAAAAAAATTAAAACTTGGATCTCCACAGAATTCCAAACCCGACCAAAAAAGATTGAAACTTTGAAGAGGAAAAACAATATATGGTGTAAGGAGGAGTGGTTCTTTAAATGAGAGAGGGAAGGATGAGGAAATGGAAAGTTTTAGTTGAGTACTAAATTAACCCTAGAAATTTAGGGGATTTGAAAGATGATTATTTTTGGAAAGGAAAGAGGAAGTTGTACCATAGGATACAACCAATGGAGTTTCTGTAAATAAAACCCATTTTTGAGTACTTTGCTGTAAAGTCACGTAGTATTGCGATTCTACTGCTTAATATGAGATCAACAATGAGTAGGCAAAAGTGTCCAAATTTGGTAAGTAGCAAAATCTCAGCAATAAAAATTGGGACAGAATTTGGTCCTCTTGTATCTTAAGAGCTTCAAGTCGAGCTTCAAGTCAGACTAAGCATTGGTTTTAGCCGGAAACTTGTTTTAATTGAGGAAAGTGTTTAAAGTACACGTCAGAGGAATAATCAAACTATATATATAGTTTCTGTTAATTGCTTTTGTTGTTGTGAGAAAAAACAAATTGGATGGTGCTGATAAAGTATTTTTCCTTGTTACACTCTTTTTTCTGCAATATTCTGCAATAGATTGTAATATTTCGGCTCTTTTTTTTTCTATTAAAAAAAATATAATATAGCACTTTTTTAAGATGTGATATACGTGAAAACGAAAAGATGCTTAGAAACAGTGTAACAAAAAAATTCTTATAGAAACCTAAAAAACTTTTTTACAAAAAAAAAATTAAGGCCGTACTTTTGCAATTACAGTAGAAATTAGTGGTTGCCTTATAAGTACAAGTATTTTTAGGTATCAATACTTGCCTAACAATTAGTGTAGGAATCTACTATAAGATAGCTTACAGTCAATGATCATGCTAGTTTGATTATGAAAAAATAGTGTATTGATTTATGGAAAATTATGTACTAAACAACTTAACGAAAAAAAAAAATAAAAGGACAGTCAACGCTCTTGATTCTAAGAATTTTATATTTGTATTTATCGCCCGCCTATAAATCTCGTGATTTTTTCGTAAATGGTAAATGGACTCTTCTTAATTTATGGCGTCCTTGTCACATCATAATTTATTTGCTCAAGGTTAATTTCTTTGGTTTTTTGGAATATATTTTTGTAGTTAATAGAATATATTGATATTTGTTTTTCTTTTTGCTGCTCGGAGAGATAGAGAGAGAGGGAAAATGTTTGGTTTTTTTTTTATAAAAGAAAACAATCAAATATGGGAATTTAGTTACTCCAAATGTTGTTCTCTTCAAATAGACAAACAAAATCCAAATGCAACATTTAGCAGAAAATTTTAAAACAATTGTCTTGAGAGTTCTGGCGAAGGGCGAGAGAGGCTTCTTTTGCTCTCTACTTAGTCTTGTGAGCTCCAAACAAGTTAACTGCTTGGGCTTTGATTTATTGAGGTTTTGATGGAGGTTTGGTGTGGGATATTTGAGCTGAATGTAGATTTTCAATTATGGGCCTAACAGTAACTGGTCGTGTTACAGTTTCAAAATGAATCCAACCCTAACCCTGGTGGAGTAAAAAAAAAAAATCAGCATCAGATCAGTATTGTTATTTTTCTAGGAGAGACTCTGAAGATGCCTGCCATTCCCATTCTTATTGGATTTTAGCTATCATATGCATGATACACTACTATACGCTCACCAGTCAAAACCAACATATTCTCCCTCCACGAACCAGACAGAACCATATATTCCACAAGAAATCATGTATAAAGAGATTAAAGTTCAATAAAATTTTTACAATCCCCCCTAATATTTGCTCAATCTTGTTAAATAGTTATGAACATCGTTTTGATGTAGTATAATTACTGTACCTAACATTTTTTTTTTGTCGCAATGACAATTCATGTTTAACTATATTCACGAGCTCTTTTATTTTGAGATACTACTGATTCAAAACTCATTCAAATTTTAATTTGCGATTGCATGTTTGCTAATTTTGATAATTTCTGAGGGACAACTTAATACCAGAAGTATTTAGGTATATCAACGAGTTCTTTTTGTTATAGATATTCATCCAAATTTACGAGCTTTTAGCTTTTTTACGTAATTTGTGACGATGTAGCTGCTAATTTTGGGAAACTTTGAGTACAAATAAGCGCGGAAACTAATAAGAAAAATAAAGATAAAAAAAAAAGGGAAAACATGTTTAATTACTTTGGGCCAAAGGCAAAAGAATATTTGTAAAATAAGCAATATTGCTAAATGGAAAAGTAAACAAAGGGGAGTTAGGAAAATAAAAGCCCATATTATAACACATGCGGAAGAAAGAAAGAAAAGAGAAGACAAGAAAAAGAAAACAGAATACAACAACACGGCCTCCTTTCTCTCTCCGTGCTGTGTCTCCATACACACAACATATACACATCAGACATAACCAAGGCAGGGGGGGAAAAAAAAGAAAAAGAAAAATATTTATAAATTCAGAATCAATTCCGTCGCTGCAGCGATTGATGCTTCAAAGCACTCAGTCTTCTGATTATTAGCAGTGATTTCAATTCACGCATTTTCTGTTACTTTCTGTATACATTTGCTCTTCGCAGGAATATACATAGTAGTTTATATACATTTATATAAATATGATCAGGTAGGTTTGGTGGGGTTTGTCCTGGTGGCAAATCCCGGAAGCTATAGAGCAATTCCTTGGAGGGATTTTGTGGGTTTTTGGAGAATTTTTGTGGGCTAGAGTTGTATTTTTTAATTTTGGATTGTTTACTGATTATGCTAGACTTCAGGATAACGGGTGAATTTAGGGTTAGGGTTTTGGGAATACGGGAGTAAAGCTGTAAAGGTAGGTTCCTCATAGGTCGGGGGTAGAGGTAGGGTGTGTGGAGAAGGGATGGTTTGGGGAGGTGGGTCTCCAAAAATGGAGGCTGAGCTTGAAGAAGGGGAGGCTTATGATGATGATACAAGCATCGATCCTGAGATAGCTTTTTCTTACCTTGTAAGAGCTCTGTTCTGTTCTTTACTCTGTGTAAATCAGATTTTGTGGATTAATTTGTACTGAAGTTATTGTTTTTAGCTTCATAGGTAAATAAAAAACATATATAACTCAACATTTGCAGACTTGACTAGCAAGGAGAAAAACAACATGGTGGCATTGAGTTTTATCGCTGGAAGCTCAATTAACAATTTAGTTATTGGATTGGACGAGTAATTGATAATGATAACTAGAATTGTGATACAAAATGCTAGAAGATTAAGTAACATCTGTTTGTCTTAGAGCATAGATGGATTCTGCTGTACAGCAAGTATGGTTGATCATTTATTTCCAAATGAAATGTAGCAAGTATAAGGGGGAATTTTGAAAAAAGACAAAATTTTGATGGAGTTTCATTGCACATTTACCTCAAGGCATGTGCTTTATAGCATTTTAATTGGAAATTGTGCAAAGTTCCATGGATTGAGGAAATTTTAGTTTCTACATTGGGGCTTCAGACATTATGATGTGCTGCTATGGTTTCATTAATATTCTAATGTGTGTTGTTTTGCTTTCTAATTATAAAGTTTACAATTGATTAGAATTTTGGGGTGAGGTTCATGTTTGTAACTTTCATACTGATTGTTTGCCACGTTATTAATCAATCTAATTTCGTGATTCTCTCCATGCCAACTTCTACCTGCTCCTAGGTACCATTATTGTTTGTCATCACTGGTCTTCAAAATCTAATATATGATGCGTGTCGCATATTTTTCCTTCGGGACACAATTCACAAGTTTCAGATTGTCTTTTTTTTTTTTTCTCTTTTTTTTCGTGTGTGTGGGTGTCATTCGTTGTCATGGAGCATTGATTATTTTTGTCAGGAGTGTTATCACAGTTTTTTTGTGTTCTTTCTGCTGCACTTCTGATATTTTTCCCAAAAATGCATTTCCTGTCCTGATCCTTTCATTCCTTTTTCTGAAGGATGAGAAGGTCCAAAGTGTGCTAGGCCATTTTCAGAAATATTTTGAAGGAGGAGTTTCTGCTGAAAACTTAGGTGAGTATAGCAGAATTGGAACTTTATATGACAAAGAAGAAGTTTAAGGTTCTTCTTTCTGTTCTAAAAGTGATGAGATTGATTCAATTACTTTATCAGGGGCGAAGTTTGGTGGTTATGGTTCTTTCCTGCCTACATACCAACGCTCACCTTCAATTTGGTCACAGCCAAAGAGTCCTCAAAGAGTTCAAATTCACACCACAACAAAATCTCCTATGTGTAGGGAGGTACATTGGCAAGTTTTGTTCTTTCCCTTTCTAATTATTTGCTGGGGAATGAGGCATATGGCTGAAATATGAATTACTAAATTTTTGGTAGTTCTCTTTCCATTTAGCACCTTGAATTGTGTTGCAAAACAGGTTGCTGTACAAAATGCAACTGCTCCCCCTGATCTGCCTTTGTCTCAGAGAAATGGAACAGCTGCTAGCCGTGGAGTCCATTTGTCACACGAAAAGGTGGTCCAGTCAGGAGACGGATCGAGACAAGATTCCTGCTTGTCTTCTGTCCAAGTTACTGATAAATTTCCCACAAGACGTCAACCATCCACAAATAAGTCACTTAATCCAAGTGATCAAAAACCACTGAAATTTCGGATCAAAGTCCCACAAAAGAATGCTGCAATCTACAGTGGTCTTGGTTTAACATCTCCATCTTCTTCGACGGGTAACAGTCCTGGAGGAAGTGGAGGAAATCTATTGGAATCTCAAGAGACTTCTGATGAATCTTCGTCCTGCATTCTTAAGGTACTTCCAGAAGCCACAATTTTTTTTTTTAAATTTTTGTATATTTTGTATGTTCTTACAGTGTCGATCTCATTTTCTGTCCTTTCAATTGGTTGTTTGCTTGCATAACATGGACAGATGCTGACTTCCTTGACCATTGCTGGGGGCCTGCTTCTTTCACCTCTTCATACCACTTTTATTAATTTAATAAGTAACATACCAATGGAAAGTAATAAGCCTGAGGCCACGATCAAGTTAAAGCATAACCATTCTACCACATCTGTGGATGATTCCACCTCCAGGTTAAGCAATGAGGTTCTACTGACAAGGAAGCAAAGCAAAGCTGTTGGGAAGAGTAAAAAATATAATGAATCAAAATGCAGGAATCAAATGGCTTTTGAGGATCATATGCTCTCCCGCTTAAAGGAAAACCCTGGAGCCGAGGTGCCGCAAATCAAGGACTCATTTAAGGACTCAGCTAAGGCGCTTGAAGCTTTTGGGGAGCATGAAAATGGTGCCACCTTAAAGAAGAGGAAGGATACCAAGGACAAAGCCAAGGGCAGATTGTCGGTGACTGAGCTGGTCAAGGATGAGTCCTTTGGATCAATGTCTGGCCTAAGTGATAGTAAGATTGAGCATCAAGAAGATAAAAGCTGCTCATTGGACTGGATTACGAAAAACCACGTAAAAAGTTCCCAGAAGGATGTTCCAGTTGATAAACTTGAAGGCATAGGGAACAAAGCTAACCAGGTTCCTGCTTCACTCAAAGCTGATTCTGATACATCTCAAAGTGAAAGAGATACTAAAGGGGGTATTGATCACTCGATACAGAAATTAAGTGCTAGAACTACCCATGAAGAAGATCAATCAAGGATGCCTGTATCTGCAAAGAAGTTTTCATCAGAAAGTAAAAAGAAGTTAAAGGGAGCTCAAGTTAGAGGAAAGCAGTTTGTGGATTCAGCAGAAGAAAGTACAAGGGCTGGTATTTCTGCTGTGGCGAGACAAAAGGCTACTAAGAGGGATGCAAATAAGGTTCGTGATACCTATAAAGATTTGTTTGAGACAAACTCAGCACGAGTGGATGTGTTGGAGAATTCATCTGTCAACAGATTGAAGGACTCAAATGTTGAGACTCTGAAAGAAAAGCAGCCATATGGTGATAGACCAAAAGGGAAGCCAAGGGGTAGTAAATTTGATGACCAGGTGATATCTGAAACATTACTGAATGATCCTCCAATTGACAGTCTTCCTATAAATAATGGGCCGACACTGGTCACAGAACAGGCTACAATGGCTCTCATAGAGGAAAATTGGGTCCAATGTGACCAATGTCAGGCCTGGCGTCTCCTGCCTTATGGTACAAAGCCTGAAGATCTGCCGGAGAAGTGGCTGTGCAGCATGCTGAACTGGCTGTAAGTTCTTTTCTGTTGCATTTTGCGGTTTGTATTGTCAAATCAATTTAGTTTTTCTTGAAGTCACATATTGCGCATGAGGAACTACGGATTAGAAAAACCACTATTTTTTGTCTGTTTTCTGTAATTTTCTCCTGAATGTGCAAATAATGTGTTTTGCTTCAAAATTCTGCAATGTGTGTGTATATGGTAGATATACAAGAACCTACTAAAGCCTGAGTAACAATCTAATTAAATTAATCTTTAGGCCTGATATTAACCAGTTTTATTTCATTAATATATAGGCCTGGAATGAACCATTGTGACATTAGTGAGGAGGAGACAACGAAGGCTCTCTATGCTTCATATCAGTTTCCTGTTTTAGAGAACCAACATTGGATTCAAAATCATGCTGATAGGCCTGCAACTGGAGCACATGCAGTTGACGTACAGCTCCTAAATCAGAGCCACCAGAATGTTGGTTTTGATTACAAGGCTAGTGGAAGAAAGAAGGCTCATAAAATAAAAGAAACATCTTTTACTGGCAGCAAGGGAAAAAACTTTGAACAGGATCTGGTGAAAAGGGGAAGTTCAAAAGATATGAAGCAGTCTTCTTTGGGAGTTAAACCAGTTAATAGATCCATTACTGTGTCAGAAATTGCAGTGGAAAAGCATTCGAATAGACAGAAACAGAAGCATGTAACTGGAGGTTTGTCATCATCTTATATCTTAATGTTGTTTTCTGTGCTTTAGTATGTTTTTGTTTTTTTCATCAGACTTATTCGGTAGGTGATGTAAAGCTAAAGAAGAAAAGCAAAAGAGAGACTGATAGGCATGAAATTGAGCCTTCAAAGAAGAGTAAAACTGCTTCTGCAGCGAAGAACATCCAGGCTTCTGCTGCATGCCTCGGCAGGTCAGGCATCAAGTCAAAAACTATTTTGCCAACATTGGCACCTACAGAAAACCGAAATCCCAGTGAATGTGATTATCCAAAAGAGGAGGAGAGGAATGGTTTACAAACTTCTCTCAGGAAACCAAGTGAACGTGCATCAGGTTTATTGGGTAATGGATATGTGGATATGATGGGGAAATCCAATAGTGGGGAGATATCCTTAAAGAAGAGAAAACTGAGGGATTGGCAAAGTTCTCAAAATAATGCAGAGACACTTCAAAATGATGGAAGTCAACTCCCTGACAGAAATTTGCCTGCGAAGGAGGAGAGCAGTGACAGTGGATTCAGGAGGGACAAGAAACTTCGGGTGTCTCAGATTGATGGGAAGGAGTCCAGTAGAAGTAAGTCTAGTGCTGAATTGAAAAGAAAAGACATGAACACCAGAATGGTTCCATCGGCTTGTAATAATACAATTGACAGAAATTTTGATAAGCCAAAGCAGTTAAACAAATGCAGAGTAAAAATTACATCTCAACTGACCATGGAGGATTTGGAGTCGTTGAAAAAGGATTTGGGATGTGAACCAGTGTTAACAGCTGCCACATCAAGCTCATCAAAGGTTTCTGATTCCCGTAAAAAGAGAAACAGTTATCAAGGAGTGAATGGTTCACCAGTTGAATCAGTTTCTTCATCTCCCATGAGGATGTCCAGTCTGAACAAATTGTCTCCAGAAAAATTGGATGGTTTTGAGCTGGATGATGTCAAAGTAGGTGGTTTTCCCATAAAAGGAAGCCCCAGAAAAGCTGTGGATGGGGATGTTAATAATGTGACCAAGAGATCTGGGATAGCTAAGAAGCGGAAAAATCCTGATGTTCTCAATCCTGAGTTAGCTGAAAACCATATGCTCGACTTTCGGAAAACTGATGCTAGAGGCAAATTGGGTGAGGAATGTGAACTTGGTGGTAGACCACCTTCACTTTTTGGAAATGGTTATCTAGATAATGATCATCTTGACATCTTGGAGAGTCATAGCACATATCTGACTGATAGGCATGCTTCAGAACCTTTTTCTGTCAAAGACAGGATTGGCAAGGACCAGCATAATACTGTCTTACCCCAAAAGAAATCTCGAAAGGCTTCCTCTCTGCTGCCCAAGGACAAAGGCAGGAATTTTGGTTTGGATTCTGAAGATGCAGTAGAGAATGTCTCTGATCTACCAAATGATCGGGGAGACTTAAACCCAAAGACAAGTTCAAGTGTAGACACAGGTATTGATCAAAATCACGTTGCAGCTGAAGGTGTCTTGCTGGGTGATGTGAAACAACCTTTTGTTGATCAGTCTGGAGTTCAATCTGTTAAAAGTAACAAGAGTATTAGCAAGAGAGAGTCAAGAAAATTGCTTGATGGCAGTCTAGAGAACCTATTGCAACCTAAAGGGCACAGGAGATCAGGTGTCAATTTAGGTGATCCTTGCAGCAAGGATGCAAATAACCTCATGCAACAAGACCTAATCAAGGGTTCTGATGCATTGAGGAGCAATTCAGCTTTGAAAGCTCGTAGTGATGCGAAGTCGCTGATTGACCATCATCCTGAAGATGAACATGAGGTGCTACCTTTTGCTAGCAAACCTGCTCCGGGAACCCAGAATGGAAGTCTATTGCAAGTACCAGGTCATGATGTTTCCATCCGCACTTATGCATCAGAGGTTTCAAAAGATCATCGCAATATCATTCACCATAATGAACCTCATCAGGCCATGGGCAGTACTGCTTCTGGTCGATCTGTAGCATGGGATCTCAGTGGCCCGAGTCTGGAAAGAAAGGATGCCGCTAGGTTGACCGCACCTTTAGATGTGCTAAAAGAAGCCGAAGGCCTTAGAAATGATGCGGATAATATCAAGGTTTATATCTGGTCCTTGTGACCTGCATGATTTCGTAAAATTTCTGTGGAACTCTGTATTGCTAGTTCATGAGTAGCACATCAACTTGTCTTATTGGTTGATAATTGCAGGACTCAGGATTTAGTTTTGAATGTAATGAGCTATACTTCCAAGCAGCCTTAAAATTTCTTCATGCTGCTTCTCTTTTGGAGAGCAACTTTGAGAATAGCAAACCTGGAGAGATGAATCAAATGCAGATTTATGGTAGTGCTGCAAAACTTTGCGAGTAAGTCAGTGTTCAAGCTGATTGATGGTTTACTCCCTGATCTAGTGTGTCATGGGTCTTGTGTTTTCATGATGTTGTTTTACTCTGGTTGTTCTTGGGTAGATGTAGTACTACTAATACTTCTAGAGTTGTTTGATTGACTGGTATGTTGTTCTATCCCAAATCAACATCATCTTGCTACATGTCATGTGTGAGAATCCTTGTAGTCTTGTTATGCCTTTTCCTTTTTCTTCCCTCCAAAATGAGTGCAAGTCTGAAGACTGACCTACATAGTTACCCTGGTACATACACATTGAAGAAAATTTACATCATGTTATTAAACAGTATATAATCTACTCCAATTATTAAATACTGTTTTCAATGATTTGCACCTATTTACCCTCAACAAGTGGGCTTAGATGACTAGTTATTGAACAATTGTCCTGGTAAAATGCAGAATTTTGTTCACTGACTATTACTTGTGTTCGATAGAGGAATTCTGCAATCATGATATCATTAATATGAAGGAATCTTGGACTGTTTTGTTAAACATGTCATGCATGATCATTACCCTCATTTGTGGCTTGATAGTTGATATAATTTCTCAAAACCTACAGAACCTGTGCCCATGAATATGAGAGACAGCAGGAAATGGCTGCTGCTGCTTTAGCTTATAAATGCATGGAGGTTGCTAATATGAGGGTGGTTTACTGCAAAAATACTAGTACGAATCGGCTGTGTCGTGATTTACAAGCTAGTTTGCAGATTGTTCCCCAAGGTACGGTGACTGTTCTGAAACCTCTCATGTTATAGGCCTCCTGTGAACATTGAATCATTTTGCCATGTTTGTATCATCTGCATGTTAGAAAATATAGACCCTGCTGAGATCTTCTGGCATTCGGTGGCCATTTGTTGTATCTTATTGCTTGGCTTAACAATGTTGGATATTCACGAGGTGGGATGTTCCATCTAGTCTCTTGTTTGCAGAATTTGTTTGGTGCTTTCACTCTAATTAGAGTGGACCATGCATCCTCAGCAACTAGGATCTTCCTTTCTTCTTCTTCCCTTTCCAAGTGTGATTGTGTTGGGCAGTTCTGTACTCCATGGTTTCCTAAAATTTACTCTGTAGCTTGTTGTATCTTCTGGTTTCTGGAAAGCTTTGAACACCTGAGCCTGTTTCTGTGTTTCGCCATTCGCAACATTTGATGCATTCTTAAGAAGTAATTTTCTCTGCCATTCTGCGGCCTCTCACTGCATAGAAACTGCCATCCTCAATATTTTGGATATAATTCTAGTATCATATATGTGGACTAATCCTTTCATGCAAACTTGCCTCAGTTATACTCAGGTTTATGTTACTATTTGATTTTGTGATTTTCTGATCTTGTGCTTAGGTGAATCTCCTTCATCTTCTGCATCTGATATTGACAACTTGAACAATCAAGCATTGGTGGAAAAGGCTTCCTTGGCTAAAAGCAATGGTTCTCATTCTGGGAATCACGTTATTGCTCCTCGAAACCACCCAGGCTTTTTCCGGCTGCTTGATTTCGTAAGTCTATTCATGCTCATATATTATCTTCTGCATTCGTGCATCCATCTTAATGCCTCATTTATTAATGTTTAATTGATTGCAATCTGCGAGGTTACATCTAACTTATTGAACTTGAAATACTTAATTTAGCTGAAAAGTTCCTTTTCTGGACAGGGCAGCCAACATAGTAAATTTGGAAAAAAGGCTTATTCTGATATTTTCAGTGACCATTCTGACATGAATTAATGCTTCGTTAGGTCTTTGGGATTGCATATGATTTGATGGTTTAAAATGACTGATGAATTGAACATGATTTTGAACTTAGGGTTGATTTCTCAGATATCTGCAAGTATAGAAGCTTTTGCTTTTAGGGTATTGGCTTTAATTGTTGTTATGGAGTTAGACCATGCCGTAGTTGTTCAACTGGAGGACGCTGCAGGTGGTCAGCAGCTAACAACATTTTGTTTGTGCAGGCAAAAGACGTGAATTCTGCTATGGAAGCTACCAGAAAATCCCAAAATGCCTTTTCAGCTGCAAGTGTGATACTTGAAGAATCTCAAAACAAGGAGGGCATTGCTGCTGTTAAGAGGGTTATTGACTTCAGCTTCCAGGATGTAGAGGAACTTCTACACTTAGTGCAGATAGCAATTCGGGCCATTAGTCGGCAAGGTTTCATTCGCAGTAGAGATTGAGTCAAACATTGTACATGACATATTTTGGCACTTCCAGTGTTGCACAGGCATGCCTCTGGGAACGAGAAGCATGTGTAGCGTCCTGCACTTGCATTTTGGTGAAGAGACGGAATCGTCAGCCTGTTTACCATCCTGTACATGTGTAAAAAGTGGGATTATTTTATTTATTCCATGATATAAAATTTTGACTTCTCAGTTTTCTTTTTATTAATTTTTTTAAAAAAAATTTTCAACAAGATAAGGGCACAAGCATGCTCACCCTTGAATTAGTGGGGTTGGGAAGTAGAAATGTATAACTTGTAGTTGCTTCAAGGAAAAGCTAGAGTGCAATTTTGACATGTGTAAGAGGAAGGCAGTTGTTTAGAGATTGAGAACAGTTAGTGAAATGCGGAGGCTTTTTACAGATATAACTATGACCTGTCCTGTCCAGTCTAATTATGGACATTATGCCTATATTTTTTATTTTAAATGTGATACAAGGACCGTCTTTGTGGAGGCTGTCTGGTGCAGTTGTAATTTTAGCAGTCTCTGCTCAATGGTGCTGATGAATACAACATAGTATATATCTTCATGTCAATCTGTGAAGAGTGAAAATTCTGTTGCTTTCTTAGAACTGATTGTCTTTCTCTTATTATTGATGTTTGTTTTATTTTTGTTGTCTCTCTTATCATGGATGTTACTTGTTACTTAACTAATTGTACTTTTCTTCTGCTGCTTTTATTGAGATGGAAGTAAACCCAGGTACAAATGGATGTGCTTGTCTCTTTTTGCTTTGAAGCTTATCATAAAAGCTTACAATACTTGTTGAGTGCTTAGTACTGTTGCACTGGATATGGGGAAGTTGGTTTATATTTGGGTTTTAAGCAGTGGCATATGCAATAAAACTTGAAAACAAATGTTGAGGTACAACGAGGAGATTAGGCCCTTGACCTCCTGGCCATGTTTGATTCGCTGGTCACTACTTACTTCCCCTTTCTGCCTGATCTGCTCTACTCCTTTACTTTCTGTTCAATGCGATTATAATGGCATACATGAACTAGTGGGTGATAATTTGTCTTAGGTCGATTGTTGTTAGAATTTAGCGAGTACTGGACTACTGGTCATGATTATGTCCCCTGAGATTATGTGATCCTGTCCTATGTAACATAGCCTCCATTTGCACGCAATTTTGATGGAAGTTTTTGCTTTTGATTTGTGCTGCTGTTTAGTTCTTGCTAAGCAGTCACTGGTGTAGATAAAATTTGCTTGTGTGCTTCCAACGGGTTTGAATGAGGTGAGAGTTCTCAAATTTGGAGTCTTTGTTCTTCTCTCTATTTGTGTCCATTGTCTGGAAGTTGGATCAGTCTGTCTGTCATATTCAAATGCTTATTTAGGACTATCATTGGACCGACATATTTGAGAAAACTTTGGCTGGTGGGAACCATTTTCCAAAGGGTGCTAGTGCTGCAACCTATGCTTGTGGCTCCTCCCTGCTGCAGGGTGTGGCCCTCAAAAGCTAGCTAACCCTACCCTGCTGCCTTCCTTTTCCTTTACCGGGTTACGACCATAACAAGTTTGACAATTGTGGAATATGAATCAGAAAGTGTGCTTTGCGCCTGCTGATGTCTCCATCTTAGACTTCCCGTGGCCATGGCCATGGTTTTGTAAGGTATCCTCATGGAGACAGGTGTCACCGGGGGAAGACTTTTTCATTTTTGGTGGCTGATTCATTGTTTCCTCCAATTATTAGGGTTAGGCCATCTCTTTAGGAAATGACAAAAAAAAAAAAAAAAAAAAAAAGAAGAATGGGCCATGTATGTATCCAAGGTCTCTACCTGTTTTGCGGCAACTAAAATGTCAAACATGTATTTTTTTTTCTTCTATTCGATCCTCTTTCTTGATTTTTCCGCTGGACTAATTTGTCGAGTCTGTGTTTTTTGTTCTCTTTTTTTTTTTTTTTTCCTTTGCCAAGAACGAGTTAGATGGGTATATCTATATGATCATCAGCTAAATTTTCAAAAGCCATGCATGTCATCCAGGATGAAACAAAGTTGGCCGTCGTTTGAGAAGGCAATAGGAGCCCCCCCCCCCCCCCCCCCAAAAACCGAATAAGGGGGAATGAGAAAGTGTGGGATGGTTTGAAATGACAGCAGTTTCTCTGCGTGGATTTGTTTGTTTCCAAGTGAGCCAGCAGCTTAGAGGTTTTAACGTACAAACTAATATAATTCAACCTTGTTCCTCTGTTTTGCTTTTCTCACCTTTGTCCTCTTTACCTCACTTTCGGTTCTTCGTCTTTATATGGTGAAGCATTTTGGCTTCAGCTGGTAACAGCTTTACCTTTCAATAAGCGTCTTTTTCGCCCTATGGTGCCAACTCCCTGCATGTACCGTCTTGAACCATTAAAGCAAGCAAGCTAGGAACTATCGGTGGTATACATGCACCCATGTATGCAGTGATAACAATTTTTACACATTAACATTAAGCTTATGCAATTGTTTCCCAAAAGTCCAGAAAATAGCCCCATTTTCCGGACAAAGACAGAAATGGAAATAGAAAACGTAAACCCTTTTCTCTTACCAGTCTGAGCTCAATGTGCAAATTAAATGGCTTGATCTTTTGTGATTCATCTAAAGCTAAAAAGCCTGAGGCTTTACCTTACAGAAGGTGAGGAAGGAAGGAGAGCAGAGGGATGATGACAGACTCACTATACATGGTCTGCAGAGCCCCCCCAAAAAACTATACCACTGCCATTTTCATTTGGAAGAGATTTCGAGTATATAGTTAGTTAGTCCCTAAAGAATTGAATTTGCACAATTACTTCTCTGCATTTCTACCTAAACTTGCCCCGAAAAAGTTATGTTATGCACCTTTCCTTGTAATCCTGCAGCAAGTTGCGGCTGTGAAATGTTGCTTTTTTTTTTTTTTTAACTTCAGTCTGGTTTTAAATCTTTCAACAGGGCCAAATGTTGCAACTTGGCGATAGGCTGGTTATGTGATCCTAACTAGCCCAAATAGGAATTTACAAGGAAGACTAAGGGCCTGTTTAGAACCTGAGTTTTTTGGAAGTTTGTCTAAAACTTTACTGTAGTGCACTGTAGAAGTTTTTAAAAAAATTTTGTAAAAGTTTTTGTAAGGTGAAAAATTTTTTTTGTAGAAGTTTTTGTAAGGTGAAAATTTTTTTTCTTTCTCTTTCTTTTTCTTTCTTTCCTTTTCTTTCCTCTCTTCTTCTTCTTCTCTTCTTCTTCTTGCTTCCCCCTTCCCCTTCCCCGTTACCTTGCACCAGCAACTCTGATGCAAAGGACAGTAGAGGTCCTCAATCTCTGACTTAGGAATTACAAAAACTGGCGGAGAAGTAATCCGAAAGCCAAGAGAACTTTATTGACTTGAATAAAGAAGGAAAGATTACAGAAGAAATGGAAAGTGCCGATATAACAAATTTCCCAGATTTTGTCTGTCTTCTACTGGTGCCCATCTTCGCCTTTTATAAGTGCTAAGACGGTGAGCTTATAACCGGCTAACAAACTTATGACATCTGCTGATGTCATAAGAATCTTACAAATCAGTACTAACTAACTGTAACAACTTTCAGTAACTAACTGCAACAAAACCCAGCTGTGGCCCTCCATGCAAACCCCATGCACGCACATGCAGCCCCTAAACTTACGTAACCCCGTTCACGTGTATCAATACCCGCCTCTCAAAACAATCCTTGTCCTCAAGGATTGAAATGAGGGAACTGTAGCCGCAAGTCCTGCAAGTACTCCCAAGTTGCATCTTCGGGAAAGCTGTTACTCCATTGAACCAGCACCTGTGTAGCCGCAACTCGCCCACGCTTGACCAGACGTCTGTCAAGAACAGCTATGGGCTCTGCCAACATCTGTCCTTGGTGTGTAATTCCTGCGGGAATCTGAGCTTGAGTGCCCCCTGTGCCAACCTTCTTTTTGAGCAAGGAGATATGGAATGTGTCATGGATACGGGCATGCGAAGGTAAAGCTAACTTGTAGGCCACTGCTCCTATCCTTGCCAACACCTGAAATGGACCAAAGTAGCGAGGTGACAGCTTCTGACAGTGGTGAGAACGTAGGGAATGCTGTCTGTAAGGCTGAAGTTTCACATAAACCCAGTCACCAACCGCAAGTTCCCTCTCCGACCTATGCTTATCAGCTAACTGCTTCATTCGATGTTGAGCCTTGGACAGATTATGTCTCAAGGAGTGAATGACCTTCTCCCTAGCTTGTAAGCTCCTATCCACGGAAGCACATGTTGTGGCCTCAGGTAGGTATGGAATGTGAAGAGGGGCCGGCTGCCCATAGACAATTTCATATGGAGTGAACTTAGCAGAAGAATGGAAATTTGTGTTATACCAGTACTCTGCCATTGGCAACCACGAACTCCATTCTCTGGGATGGTCACCCGTCATACATCTTAAATAGTTCTCCAGACATCTGTTGACTACCTCTGTCTGACCGTCGCTCTGAGGGTGATAAGAAGAAGACATGTTCAACTGAACCTGCTGCAACCTGAAAATTTCTCGCCAGAAGGAGCTTAGAAAGATGGGGTCTCGATCACTAACAATGGTCTGGGGAAGACCATGCAACCTGTAAACCTGGTCCATGAAGAGCTGTGCAATGGAGATGGCTGTGTAAGGATGAGCTACGGCCATGAAGTGGGCATATTTACTGAGCCTATCGACCACCACGAAAATCACCTTCTTGCCATGTGAGAGAGGTAAGCCTTCGATAAAATCCATAGAGATGTCAGACCAGATCCTCTGAGGTATGGGTAGAGGTTGTAATAAGCCCGGATAAGCTACATTATCTGGTTTATTTCTTTGGCAGATGTCGCATGCTGCTACAAAATGAGCCACATCCTTGAACATGAATGGCCAGTACAAGATCTGCTTAAGCCTCCTGTACGTTACCTCAATTCCAGAATGCCCCCCTTGTGAGCTCGAATGCCACAAGGTAATCAATCTGCCCCTTAAAGACGGGTCATTGCCAACCACCAGTTTTCCCTTCCTCTTTAACACTCCCTGGTGCCACGAGTAGTTGCTCGAGCACGGACCATTATTGGCTAACCTCTGGATCAAGTCCTGAACTACTGCATCCTGTTGCCAACTCTGCTGTATGTCCCTGATCAAGGACGTTGTGATAGTGACCATGGTACATAGAGAACTGCCCTCCTGAGGTTGCCTGGATAATGCATCTGCCACAACGTTGTCACTCCCCTTCTTATATTGTATTTCATAGTCATACCCCATCAGCTTGGCTATCCATTTCTGTTGCAGTGGTGTATGTACCCTTTGTTCAATAATGTACTTCAAGCTCTGATGGTCCGTTTTAATGACGAAATGCCTTCCCACCAAGTAAGCTCTCCACTTCAAAATGGCAGTGACTATGGCTAACATTTCCTTTTCGTATACTGATAGAGCTTGATGCTTGGACCCCAATGACTTGCTGAAGAAAGCTAGCGGTTTCCTTTTTTGCATTAACACCGCCCCAATCCCATTCCCAGATGCATCTGTCTCCACGATGAATTCCTGGCTAAAATCTGGCAGAGCTAGGACAGGGGGGCTACTCATAACTTCCTGCAACTTCTTAAAAGCTTGAGTAGCTCCATCGTGCCACTGAAACTGATTCTTTTTAAGCAAGTCAGTTAAAGGCTTTGTAATTTTACCATAATCTCGTATGAACCTCCTATAATACCCAGTGAGACCCAGAAATCCTCTCAATTCCTTGACTGTCTGCGGCAGTGGCCAACTCCGAATGGCATCAGTTTTCTTGGGATCAGCTTGGACGCCTTCTGCATTGATAATATGCCCCAAATAGTCAATTTGCTGCTGAGCAAAAGCACATTTACTTCTTTTTACCTTCAGTTCATGACTTCTCAGTAGTTCAAACACCACACTCAGATGCTGCAGGTGCTCCTCCCAACCGCCACTGTATACCAAAATGTCATCAAAGAAAACCAAAATAAACTTCCGCAAGAATGGCCTAAAAATGTCATTCATTAGACCTTGAAATGTTGAAGGAGCATTAGTTAGCCCAAAGGGCATAACTAGAAACTCATAGTGGCCATCGTGAGTTCTAAAGGCTGTCTTCTCCACATCTTCAGTTTTCATTCTAATCTGGTGATAACCAGACCTCAAATCTAATTTGGTGAAGAACTTAGCTCCAAAAAGTTCATCCAACAACTCTTCTATTAAAGGAATGGGAAATTTATTCTTTATTGTGGCATTGTTTAGCTGCCTATAGTCAACACACATTCGCCAGGACCCATCCTTCTTTTTCACCAAAACTACTGGTGAAGAGAATGGACTAGAGCTAGCTCTGATGAGCCCACACACAAGCATTTCAGCGATCAATTTTTCAATTTCTCCCTTCTGGAAGGCCGGATACCTATAAGGTCTTACATTGATAGGTTCCGTACCTTCTTTTAAAACAATTCTATGATCATGCAATCTTTCAGGAGGTAAGCCATTTGGTTCTTGAAACAAATCATCATATTCATTTAACAAAGAATCCAGACCCAACGATTGACTAACCTGCTCACCACTGGTTCCTACAGCAATACTAGAAAGAGGTAATGGTTCTGGCTCCGGCTCTTGGATCATCCTGATTAGGCAGATTTGAGCTCCTGCAATTTGTTCAGGCTTTTGGAGTAGCCTCTGCATTTTTCTCTGTTTCACCAACTGTAGCCCATGTTGCTTCATTCCCCTCAAGACCACCTTGTGGCCATCCGACAAGAACTCCATCCTGAGATCCCTAAAGTTCCATTTCACGTCCCCAATGGTGGTTAACCACTGCATTCCCAATACTACTTCGCATCCACCCACAGGTAGTACCAACAAGTCGGCCTTAAACTCTTGCCCCTGCATTTTCCAGGTGAAGCCTGAACAGAGTTCACGAGTAGTCAACTTGTTTCCGTCTGCTACTTCTACAATTAGGGGGTCAACCTGCCGTGTACTTAATCCCAGCTTTTGTGCAACCTTGGGGTGGATAAAATTATGTGAGCTACCACAGTCTATGAAAATGTTCACAGACTGCCTTCCCACATGCCCAGTGACCCTCATTGTCCTGAAATTAGGAACAGTCATGTTAGTCATGGCATTGAGGGAAATATGAGCTAACTGTCCCTCATCGACCGTACCCCCTTCCTCATCTGTTTCCGTCTCATCCTTATCTGATTCATCATCCCAAACCTCCAGTCGGTGGAATTGCTTACTCCCGCACCTATGCCCAGCAGTAAACCTCTCATCGCACCAGAAACAAAGTCCTCGTGCCCTTTTTTCATCCATTTCTGCCCTACTCAATTTCCTGAAAGGCCTCCTAACAACTAGCTCCTTTTGTCTTTCATTGCTAGGGAGTGCTGGAAACGTAGGCAGGGGCAGCACTGCCTTAGAGTCCGTCTTCCATTTAGGCTTAAGAGCATTCACATGGATTGGTGTGGTACCAGTGCGATCATAATAATTCGTGAAAGGTTTGGGTGTCACCTTTCCATTCGATTGTACTGATATCTTTGCTTCTTCGATCTTGGCCAGAATTCTGGCATGTTGCACACTTTTAGGCATGAACATCCGTACAGTCAACTGGATTTCGGGCTTCAACCCGCTCAGAAAACAACTTGTAGCGTAATCTTCTGGGAGGTCCACTCTGTTGAGTAGTTCTTCAAACAGATCGTGGTAGTCTTGTACTGTCCCAGACTGCTTCAAGCTCTTCAATTCGCCCATTGGATCGTCGTACAGGGAATCGCCAAACCTTGAGGACAGCTCCCTTACGTATTCTTCCCACACAGGGGGTTCACGAGTAAGCCTAGATTTCATGAAAATTTGGTGCCATTGAAGAGCCTTACCTTCCAAATTCATGGCCGCTATTTTGACCTTGACTGAGCCAGGAGTGCCATCCACTTCAAAAAACTGCTCGCTCTTGTACAACCATCCTCGGAAGTCCTCCCCGTTGAATTTCGGGAAGTCAATACGTGACAGTCGCGAAGGAACTTGATATCCTCCCCTGCTACTTGTTGGAGTATCCGAATGGTGAGGAGAGCTGTTCCCCTCGCCCTGAGCCTTCTGTGTGTGAAGCTCGATCACCAAATTCCGCAGAGCCGCCATTTCCCTCTCAAATTGCTCCTGCTGCTCCTTCAGCAAAGCTCTGACTTGTTCCTCCATTTTCCTGACATCCTGAGACCTAGTGCCCTCTGCCATCGATGATTGGAGCTGGCGTAACCCAGCTCTGATACCACTGATGCAAAGGACAGTAGAGGTCCTCAATCTCTGACTTAGGAATTACAAAAACTGGCGGAGAAGTAATCCGAAAGCCAAGAGAACTTTATTGACTTGAATAAAGAAGGAAAGATTACAGAAGAAATGGAAAGTGCCGATATAACAAATTTCCCAGATTTTGTCTGTCTTCTACTGGTGCCCATCTTCGCCTTTTATAAGTGCTAAGACGGTGAGCTTATAACCGGCTAACAAACTTATGACATCTGCTGATGTCATAAGAATCTTACAAATCAGTACTAACTAACTGTAACAACTTTCAGTAACTAACTGCAACAAAACCCAGCTGTGGCCCTCCATGCAAACCCCATGCACGCACATGCAGCCCCTAAACTTACGTAACCCCGTTCACGTGTATCAAACTCCCTTTCCCCCCTCCCCCGCCACCGCCCTCCCCTCCCCTACCACCACACTACCCTCTCTTTCCCCCTTCCCCCGCCTACTGCCCTCCCGGCCACCCCTCTGCCCTCCTTTCCCCCTCCCCCTCCCCTGCCACCACTGCCTTTTTCCCCCTTCCCTGCCCACTGCCCTCCGCCACCCCTCTGCCCTTCCTTTCCCCCTTCCCGGCCACTGCCTTTCCTCCCCGCCACCGCACTGCCCTCTCTTTCCCCCTTCCCCTGTCCACTGCCCTCCCCGGCCACCCCTCTGCCTTCCCTTTCCCCCTTCCCCCGCCCACTGCCCTCCCCCGCCACCCCTTTGCGCCGTCTTTCCCCCTTCTCCCGCCCGTCACCCTTTGCCCTCCCTTTCCTCTGCCCTTTGCCTTGCCCTTTCCCTGCAGCCCAGCCGCATGATGGCAGGCCCAGGCTCGTGACCAGACGTAGCCCAGGCTCAGCCTTTCCTCTTCTCCACAGTGCACCAGAAGCAGCCCGGGCTCACGACCCAGCCGCAACGCACTCGCAGGATGGGGGACGAAACAGCGGTGGCGTGTTTTGGGAATCGGCAGTGGTGTTGGGTTGGGATGGGGGAGGAAGAAGGAAAAAAAGGATGGGAATTTTTTTTGGTGTGTTTTGGGTATTTTGAGATGTGTAGGTAAAAAATTTTGAGAAGTTTTTTTGGATTCCTGTAGCAAAAGTTGTTAAAAAATTAGTAGGTAAAAAACTTGTCCAAAATACTGGGTTCCAAACAGGCCCTAAATTTCATAAAGTGCGTTGGCTTGGCCCCACGATACAATTCTATGCGCATTAAAGATCCATGAATTTTCTTGCTTGTTCTCCCTATAAATAATTGGCATTGCAAAGTTCAATACTACAAGGTACCTAGCAAAGATAAGTTAGTCCCCTCCAAACAATAGTACCATGGCTCCTGTACCAGTTTCTCCCATTAGTGTTGGCCACATTGATGATGTCCAAGAACTGAGGAAGACCATACCATCACGCATTCCTCAGAGATTTGTCCGAGACGGGATAGAAAGGCCGAGACTTTTCATGACCAATCCTACTCCTTGCAAGAATATTCCTGTCATTGATTTATCAAATCTCCAAAAAGGCAGTAAAGATGAATTCCGAGCTGAGTTGCTACAGCTCTCAGCATCCTGTGAAGACTGGGGATTTTTCCAGGTATCTATGTATCATGAATCTCTACCTTGTTTTTGTTCATTTTATTTATAACAGGGGCTAATAACCATTTTGACTTGTATAGGTGATAAACCATGGAGTTAACTTATCCTTAGTCGAAAGCTTAGAAAAGGTGGCCATGGAATTCTTCATGCTGCCGTTGGAGGAGAAACAGAAGTATCCAATGCTACCTGGAACTGTTCAAGGATATGGGCAGGCTTTCGTTTTCTCGGAGGACCAGAAGCTAGACTGGTGCAACATGTTTGCTCTTGGACTGGAGCCCCATTTTATAAGAAATCCAAACCTGTGGCCTACAAAGCCAGCCACCTTTAGGTAACTGCATTACTTCATGAACAAAAAGCTTTAAGCCCTGAATTTAATCTAATCTCAGAACGGGTGATAAGATTTATCTTGTTCTGTTTTCAGTGAGACTCTGGAAGCATATTCCAGAGAGATAAGGAAACTATGCAAGAATTTGCTAAAGTACATAGCCATCGGTCTATCTCTGGATGAGAATGTCTTCGAAGACATGTTCGGAGCAGCTGTACAAGCAGTGAGAATGAACTATTATCCAGCATGCCCTAGACCTGATCTTGTTTTGGGTTTGAGTCCTCATTCAGATGGAAGTGCCCTTACAGTGTTGCAACAAGGAAAGGGTAGTTCAGTTGGCCTTCAGATATTCAAAGACAATACCTGGGTACCTGTCCAGCCAATTCCCAATGCATTAGTAATCAATATTGGTGACACCATAGAGGTAAAAGATTGTGATCATATCATGTCCTTTTCTTTTAGTTTTACTTATTGATTTACAAATCTAATGTGCCATTCTTTTGTAATTAAACAGGTTCTAACAAATGGCAGATACAAGAGTGTAGAACACAGAGCAGTCACTCACAGAGAAAAAGACAGACTCTCAATTGTCACATTTTATGCACCTAGTTATGATCTAGAAGTTGGACCAATGCCAGAACTGGTGGATGAGAACGAGCCCTGCAAGTACAGAAGATACAACCATGGAGAGTACAGCAAGAACTATGTAACCAACAAGCTGCGGGGGAAGAAAGCACTGGAATTTGCTAAAATCAATACCACTAACTAATTCCAAAAACACCTTGCATAGTTTGAATACTACTACATCGTGCAAAGGACCATATACATAGCATTATGTCATGAATTGGTTTCGTTAGGACTTGTGAATGGAATGACCCAAAGTACAAGTTGTATGTGCTGTACTACTAAAAACTGTTGAGTGGATAGCACTGTACATTTGCAACTTATATGTATGAGTATGACCCTATTGATTAGTAGTAATAAATATGCCACTGGCCACTTGTGCAGAGAAACTTTTCTTACTGCAGTGCTTTCACTTTCAATTAGGGGGTGCCTGTCTCGCGGGGAAGCAATGGGTCGGGTTGGGGGGGGGGGGAATTTTCTTTCCCCGTTTCAAATGGGGCAGTATGGAGCGGGGTATAATAAATTTTTTAAAAAAATAAATATTTATATATAGTTTTATACATACACACACATATATATATATATATATGTGTGTGTGTGCGCGCGCGCGCGCAGGCGCACGTATATTGTTATTACACATCAATAATATAGGCATATACATAATAATTTTATAACTAAAAATATCATAATTTGCATGATGAAATGATGATTTAACTATTTCTAGTTTACTTGAATCTTTTCACATATTGCAAATTATTCACCAAAAAAATAAAAATAAATATGATAGTTATAAGTTTAGATTTGCAACTAAATGTGAAGAAATGAATTCAAAAGATCAAAATGATTATTAAGCTCACATTGAATATTTTGCCAAAAATCTAAAAGAATGATTTACAAAACTGTTATTGATGTTATACGCGTAGATAAATAAATAATGTCAAAATAAAAAATAAAACTATAATTAGCCAATCGCAGGGCACACATGAAGCTATGGCCAGGAGGCAGGGTACTGGAAGCAAGGGTTTAAATATGAGGTGAGAGAACTGTCCCTGCTCCTAACCTCACCCTATTGCCATCCCTACTTTCAATTGTGTCGCTCAAACTTAAAAGAGTCACTTTTACTGTTCTCTCTAGCAGATTATTCTAATATGATGTAATCATGAAGAGGAACCACAGAGCTCCACCACCCCTAGTTTTTAGTAGATTCGCATCAAGCACGGACAAAATCATCGGCTTTCCATTGTTCAAGGGAAGATACCTTTTTCTTGAGTGCGGGGGGGAGAAAGGACTAAGGAGAGCCCACAGACTGCGCCTTTGTGTCTCTGAGGTACACATTATTGCTATGTCAAAGCAGTAACGAGGCAACTTGTTATTAACTTTTGCCAATCAAATTGAATTAAGAAACTAGTACAGCAAACCAACAGAATTCAGAATTAGTCATCAGGTAAACAAAGAGAACAATGCAATCAATAGCAGTCGTCCATGTGGGCTTAAAAGCAGTTTGATACCAGAGTATTAGCAAAGAAAGGCTAAAGATCTTGCAGTGTCATTATGGAAATTGAGTGTGTTTTATGATTAAACAAAGCATATGGTCTGCAAATGAGGAAGACATTGCTGATGCAATCTCTTAGTGGAGAACTTAATGGAGAATTCCGTGATACTTTAGCAAAGAGGACGTGATGTAGAAAAGAAGGTGTGTTCTCCAGTATGACTAGCTCAGGTTAAATCATCCACCACTACATCAAAACGCCAACAGTGCTTTAGGATTCCCCGTTCGAAAGCAAAACTTGGAGCTCAGAAGTGCTCGTATGTTTGCTGGGAAAGAAGAAATTGGTTTTCATACGGTAATGAAAAATCTGAGATTATTGCTCAAGTGCAAAAGCCAGCTGAGCAATTTATCTTCCTCAATAGATCATTATTAGAAGTGAAAAGCATATGCATAATACATTAAACCAAGGATGAGGAAACCAAGAATGCAACCTCAAAGTCCTTTAGAACTCTTCTGTTCATCGCCCATTTCCTCACCATCAAAACTACTACTAATGCACTCAGTCTCATCGTTACATCATTCTTTACCTCTAGGTGGGGTTGGAAGCCTGGGACAGGGCGGCTGTCTCTTTGTTTTTCTTGATTCTTAGTTTCCACTTTCCATCCATCAAGAAGATTTTTACTTCGACTAGTTAATTTTGGCATGAGATAATTTTACAGTTTCTTGACAACTAGCCATGGACCCCCGCAATGGCTGGAAACCATGTATTTAAACAACTATACAGAAAATACTGGTCCTCGACTCCATGAATTGACAACCCACTAAGACTATGACTGATTGGTGAATGCTCACGCAAGCTTTGTAATGTTTCTAACATGTTTGAAACATTATTATGAAAACTTCACCTAATCACTCTTCTTTCAAACTCAACAATCAGGTTTATGGGATTCAGGAATGATCTCAGCTAATGGGACCCAAGAATCAAGCTTAGAAGACCTGAATAACTTGCAAATCCCAAACACCATCTCAATAAAATAATGGCAACTACATTTTGGTCTGCAAAAGATGAAAGCTTTATGCGAGTGCAATTCCAAGGTTTGCTTCCCAACTTGAAATTGTGACTGACGGCCGTCATTTTTGCTTCACTAACTAATCATTTGGAACGTAAATGCATTTTGTGGTGCTTCATTACATATAATTTACAACTTCTACAAGCCTTCCTATAGACATGCCATAGCTGAGTGCTGCGTGACTTATCCCACTAAGTATAGAACAGCAAGGATCCTTTTGACTATCATGAACTTGAAAAACTCGGGGAAACCCATTATCAAAGATGTTAATTGCGCATTTTCAAAGCCACCTTTCGGACAGGATGGACCAAAGACGAGAGCGGATTCATGACCTACGCAATTGGACATTCAAAGACTCCATTTTTAGCACACAAACTTCAATTTATATGCAAAACGTTCATGATTAAGAAACAGTAAACATCGGACGAGTAATCCCAATCACCAGACTTTTCATTTGCTTCATCAGCATAGATATATTTCTGAACAAAAAATAACTCAAGCAATTCAACCATATAAATCACTAAAATTCATGTGTAGATATATATAGACAAAGAAAGAAAGAGAGGGCGTTCTCAGCTGATACTCGGAAAGAAGAGGATTGAAACCCTGGGAGCTCTCGAAAGGCTAATGCTGTGAAAGAGATTTAATCCTATATTACCTTTTTTTTTTTTTGGGTATTGCTTGATAAAGGCAGGGGAATACTTGGCTATATCCTCTTTCTTTATTTGATTGCTGTAAGCCAACCACAGTAGGATGGATGCAGCTGCTTCACTGAACATGTTCTCGACTGATGTTTGTACTTTGTGGCATTACAAGGAATATGGGTTTGGCAGTTGACCACTGCTGTTTGTCATCAGGCCCAGGCGAACTAACTTTCCAGGAAAAGGTGAAGTATTGGAACATTCACCCACTTGGCTTGCTGGACGCTCACCTTAGGAGCCAAGAAGATGACACCGTCCACACATTTGAGTCTGCGACAGGAAAGTTAGGAAGTGAGGAAAATCTTGACAGGGGACACAATCTCTCCCAATTTCCAGTTTACAGGAGAGGCACGCAAGAGCCGTCTGCGGAAAGCATAATAGTGCATTCCACCCCCAATGATTCAATTCTCACACTTACAGGAGACGGACGTCAAAGCTGCGTGCCAAAAGACCATTTGCTATTAATTTAGGGAATTAAAATTTGACATTTTCCATGTACGATACGCAGCAAAGTTTGAAAAACTTCCTTTCGGGACTGCAAATATGGTGGACAGGCTCTGGGAAATGAGCAGTGGAAGGTAGAAGGTTTGCATTCAATGTTTTGAATACAAACATTATCACGTTTACCTGGATAATAATTAAGACTAAAGAAATGTGGAATGAATCGCGGACGAACACCAACGACATAGGAGACAAGTCGCACGGTACCAACTTGTGCGCGCCATATCATTGCTGAGATAATAAGATACAATCAACCTACTGATTTTTTCTATTTCCTGTCTTTACTCTTCATTTTGTTCCTTCATAGAAGGGAAGGTGAAGGACCGAGCAGCATAAACATGGCATGCGGCTTAACAGGAAGCACCAACTTGAAATGAAAATTCAGTTGTTACTGGAGGTCTTAAAGTTTCTCGCAAGCGCATGCTTCCGATGAACCTTTACATTAACTACAGAAGATGAAAAAAATTAACTACAGAAGATGGAAGCCGGCGAAGACTGTTGACACATGGAAGCCGCAAATAAAACTGAAAAAGTTCAACTCCTGCACCAATAAAGATTGGAAGAGTACAACTGCCCCACCAAGGGTAGTCTCACTGCTAAAACTACAGATATTACACTTTTTTCCAACAAGGACAGGTAAATGTAGCGATTGTCTACATCTGATTTTTGAAGGCTTAATGTACACAGAAAATCTCAAGCTCCTGATTGTAAGCAAGCATCAAAAAAGAGGTAATTAAATATTTGGAAACATTTACAGAAGTTTGTGGTCAATTTTTCAGGCCAATGGACGCACGATAGAATGCACGCCCTTTCGCATCGATCAGGGATAGCGAGTTGCACATAGGGTTGATCACCTGGACAATTCATGCCAAGTACTTGAACAAATTCGGGTTATCCTTGTCCCTCTCCAGATAGTCCCGAGTAATCAAATCTTCAATCCTCTTCTTGATTGCCTTGACGTCAGGCTGTGCAGTGCAAAATTGTAAGTTAAGAATACCATTTGGTTAGCTCCGAGGCAACATATTAAGCAGGAGAATAACAATACCTTGAACATGCGGCCCAACTGTTCAACACACTCCATCACCAACTGCTGGTAGCCCAAAACTTTCCTACTCTTCATGATGCGGACGATTGATGCATCAATAGCATATCGCCTATCCTTATCAACATCTTCAATTACTTTTTTCTTCTCATCCACGGGAGGGAGAGGAATCTGAATATCCACAAAAGATACTTTACCAACATAGAACTAGTATGACCACAAGGTATGTAGTAGTCAACAGGATATTCCTGTACAAGGTAAGAAGAGTACCTTGATCCTCCTCATTTTGTCAGTGAACTTTGAGTTGAACCCAAAAACATCTGTATGAGAGATTGTTTTCGTATTGGGCTCCTTGTTAAGAATCTTATACTTGGCACATGAAAGGGAATGCAACAGTCTCACAACATCATCATCAGAAAGGTTCAATTGAGCCATAATTTCTTGATAGCTTAATTTATCTGATGCATTGAATAACAGCAGAGCAGAAGCCTGCAAATCAGGAAGAGGAACATTCACTTTCTGTGATATAGGAACTACAAAAACCATGAGCTACCCTAAAATATGCTTGTTGCGAAGTTACCTGATACGTAGTTACAATCAACTCCATAGTTTTAGGCTCAAACTTTCCATTGATGTTACATGTCCCCAATGAATATATCCAAGTGAGTTTTCTGTGCTTTGTCTTTGTTTGATAGAACTCTCGAAACACTTCAACGCACTTAACCTGAGATAGATTTGAAGTAAACCAGAAAAGGTTGATGCTAAATAGTAACGTTGAAAAGAAGCCAAAAATATACAACGTATGGAAACATACCATCTCAGCTGGGAGGCTAAGATCAAAAGACTTGTAACTTGGCCAGAACCCAGTAGTAAGGACAGTGACTGTCAAGTCAATTCCGGGATTTGCTTGTGGGTTATTACTGAGATACTCCTCAAAGTTGGCTTGGTTTTCCCTAGCTAATGTCAAATCCGTAACCTGAAAAAAGAGAGAAAAAGAGTAAAAAAAAAATTATCAAGTATTTTCATAGAGCACTAACGTTTGATTCGAAAAGAAATATATGGACAGCCAGCTTACCATCCCCTCCATCTTTGAAGTGAACTGACCACCACATTGTTGCTTCAACTTGGTCAGGATACTTCTTTCATGTTCATCATTGGCACTTTTATCAAATAATAGCCGCCGAGCAAGCTTTTTCCTGTCAGTGAATTGTTACACCAAAAAGTCATAAAAGGAAACTGGTGCAATTCCTAAAAACTCAATAATCACCATCCATCTCAGAGACCAGATCACTAACCGGTAAAATTCTGCAAATAAGTCCTTGTCACTGATATAGGCAAGTAGCTTTACTACCTGTGAAGTGATGGAATTAGTTGCAACATCCTGCAACTTGTAATAGAATAGAATTCAATATAGTAAGACGTGTTATTTACCTTTTCTAACGTCTCTTCTATTGCTTCATCACTCAACTTCTCACTGCCACCTTTTTTCAGAATATTGTCACAGAATGTTGCAAGAAGTTCAGCACTTGAACTTCCAGAAACACCCTTATTGCAGAAAACTTCAAATGCTTCCTTGAGTGCCTAGGGTTCAACATTAGAGGGGAAAATTTCATATTATAGCAATTGAATCATGACAACAGGACAAAATTCAATGATTTTCATTGGTACAAACCTTATGAAAAAGAGAATGATTCATAAAACAGTCATTCACATAAGCGAGGTACTTGTCATGCAGTTCAATCACCTTCCTTACAAAAACCTGAAGGCCACAAACGTAAGTCTTTCTACCAAATGAAACCAAATTTACGTTCCGAATGAAGAGACACGTCAATATGTACCTGTTCCTGCATACCAACCACATCTTTCTTATCCACCTGCAACAGAACGTTAATGTAAGAAACCATGGCGAGTGACCAAAACATCCACTAACAATGCATTCAACAGTACATCTCAGGGAGTATAAGTGAGAGGCCTCGGGTTCGAGCCCTCCCAGTCCCCCCCCCCAAAAAAAAGTACCTCTCAGGGAATTCTAGGATACAATAATCTCTAATTTTCTAAGAGCAATGAAAAAGTTGGAACCTTGAAATTCTAAAGCATACGGGATTCCGTAGCTTTCTGAAAGCCTACTGTTTTGATTTCAACTAAAAATAAATTTTGAATTCATGCTACATTAAATTCTGGATATAAGAAAGTAATCACCATTAAATTTTAAGTGCTGATGTGTTGCTTCAACTTGTATTAAAGGCTGAACACAATTTATCTGTATTCAACCTAGTCAAGTACTACAAACCTCAAGGGAGAAATCCTAGAAGAGTAAGATCCATGCAAAACATTCAAGCCTACCTTCTTGTTGCTTGCAGCATCTTCTGCTTGCTTAACCAAAGCTGTACCTTCAGCAGTAACATGCTGCATCCATGATACCACAAATATTTAATGCACAGATATGGAGCCAAAAAGTCAAAAAATAATGCTCTGTTAAGGTATTGGAATAAAAATTTATGGAGGCAAAATGGCTACAAACCTGCTTGAATATATTAGCAACAGGTTCTAGGCCTTTAGGTATTTTGGAGAAAAGTCTATACATCCTTGACAAATCTTCCACCTAATTGAATTCAAAAAACGAAAAAGAAAAGAACACATTAATTACTGCAGCAGTTTTAATCAAATAAGATATCCATGATTTACATATGTTAAAAAGCACCTTGTCATCTCTAAGTAATGCATGACATCCAGAGTGCTCTTTTTCAAGCAGTTGAGAAGCATACACAGACAACAACTCATGTTGTACTTTCTGCCAAAAAGAAAGATTAGTTACAATTAAATACAGTATACTTCACGAAATAATAAAAACCATGGAAGAATTCAAAGTTGAAGCTAGATAGCTCAGAATACTACTACCACACTATGCAATATTAGAGTTGAAATACGATAGCAGCATAAAACTCGAAAACAAAATCAAACCTCAAGCAACTTCATTTCACTACTTGAATGGAGATAATGGGCGACTCTGTCCTTCTCTCGCTTTAAACACTCCTCACTCTGATGATTAGATCAGTAACAGTAACAAATTAGATTCCAGAGCCATGAAGAATGGGGTGACATTTAAAACCACAACATGGTATGTAACAGGTAATTACTTTCAGCATATAATCTGGACATGAGTCTTCCAAAATCCAGTTAGATGCCTTCCGGGAATAATAAGCAGCGGTATCCTTGAGCATTGCTGCTTCAAAATCATTCTCATAATAATCCATCTGCCCCATCCCAATTTCAACAAAAATATCTAGAACATTCTTCAACAAAGCTCGATCAATTTGCTCTCCCTCACGCTCCTGATCAATCTGATAAATAGGCAAGGACAATGATTTGTCAACTAGAACCAAATTTAAAGAATGTTGCTGATTTAAATAGTGACAAGGACAAACCAGAGATATAACAGCATCTCGAACTTTTCCATTTAACTCATGATATACCTGAAACAAGATGATACCTATCAACATTATTCTAAAATAACTCAACTGCATTCAGAAGTTAGTTTACTTCCATAATCGTAAAAAGAGAAAAGCAACAACATGTAATCCTCTAGACAGTCCTTTTTCAGATCACAACCAACAAACACCATAACACAAAATAATAGGTGAGGCAGAAATATTCTTTACAAAAAATAGTATTAGTCCATAATTTACCCGATCTCGAAAGCAAGTCAGTCCCACTTCATTTAGTGCTGGAAGTGACCTCCGAGCGATGAAATACCGATCAAGATAATGAAAGAACCGAGACAGCCATCTAACCATGATTTTATGATTTGACCATCTTTTTACGAGCTCTCGTAACATAAATTCATCATGCTTCTCTCTTAGAGAAGGCAATACCTGTATATTTAAAAAAAAACAACAATTATGAAAGAAAAAGTTCCTTGAGATGATTTCTGTTAGGAGACGCTTGCATAATGAATACTTTTTTG